TTCCGGATATCAGGTTTTTTGCAGAAATGTTATTGTATTTCTCTCAAAAGATACCATTGGCTTTTATGCTGAGTATGTACATTTAAAATTAGTTATAGTTTAAAGGGTTTCGTTTGCCTTTATGAGTATGAAATACAGAGGAATTTTTCAATGGTTTTCCATTAGAGAAGTTTTCAATGGGGTGTCGAAAAGAATCCAGGACCTCATAGGTTCCTCTTTCCCTCTCTATGATTGGTTCAGAAAACCCGCACCACCCTCTCAACCAATTAGGAGCAAAACTAACAACAGGATGGCCCGCGTTTTCCCGCGCTTTGGGTAGCATGACTGTTTTTGCTTTGAATTCTCATTGGCTCTTTAAAGTACTTTCCTTTCATCTGATTGGCCGTTGCGATTACTTTGGTTTTGGGTTTACGACACTCAATCGTAAAGAGCTCTTTTAAAGCAGAGGAAAGCATGCATTATTTTAAAATTCTCGAGTTACATTCGCAATCGGCGAATGGGACGGAAAAATCAACATTTGCTTCTTACCTCGCGCTTAACTGGCTACTATTTTAAACAAAGAAGCACAGAGATTTCGAAAATGTTACTTATTATATCTTTACAATATACTTCTAGGTCATTTGAAAGCGTTCTGATAAAGTTTTTAATTAATACTATACACGTTATAGTGTAGAGTGATAGTGTGTTGATATAAGAGATCATCAAGAGAAACTCGGAGATATATTGTCAATTATTGCGTACGCTAGGGCAACTGAGGAGAATTTAGTGTTATTTGCTTCTTTTATCAACGACGAGGCACAATTTAGACCAAAAAAAAAACAAGTGAGAAAATATTATGTTATTATTTGGTGGAAAAACTGTTTAATAAACTTGTGGGAACTTTCGTCAACATGGTTGCAGTTATCAATCGTGTGAAATACAATGATAGGGAACCAGCCATTATTATCGCCTCTGGGTGAGGGGGGGGAGGTATCACATGGTTTTCAGGGGGAACGGAGTGGAGGTCAGTCGTTGTCATCAAAGTATGAAGGGGGGGGGCTTTAGAAAATTGACTGCCAGTGAGGGGGTGGATCAGGTAAAGCAAAATCCTCGAACCCCCACCCCCCCCTCCACCTGGGTGGTAAATCATGTCCTGTCCCTTTCTGTTTTATTTTGGACTGTACTTCTTGCCTCTATCGAGTGGACTTCAATGAAATGAGGGAGAGGGGCTTTTTCCACTTATCCAAAATCTCTCCTTTGTACCGCGAAATTCACCTTTTCTCAGTACTCACTCTCCCTGACATTCTTCTGGTGTTTTCCCAAAGTATTAAATTGAACCCCCCTCCCTACAGTTAGCTCTTCGTGATTATTTTCGAACACACTTTTTTAACACAAAAGGTCTGCAATGCGTACTTGTGTGGCTCAAATGTACCTTAGCAGGAGCCCATCACTTTGATGGGCTCCTGACTATAGTCGCGGCTAATCACGTGAGACTGTGAAAGAGGATATATTAAAACAGAGAAAATACAAATCATGCTAAAAATTTTAACACTTCTTCAATCGTCACCAGTTGAGGGGAACATTTCTCTCTAATAGAGTAGATTGACGCAAATAAGGTGGCAAAGTTCTGAAGTAAGCGACTCAGACAAAGAAACAGAATAGACAGAATTTTACAGACAACAGGAAAAAAATATTTCTTTTTTCGTGTTGGAGAGAAACATCTACAACGCACAAACGATATTTGTACATTTGTCTTCTTAAGGGAACGAATCTCACCACTTTTTCTAGCTTTCCTTACAATGTCTGTAGATCTCCACGTCGCGTGAATAATGCTATTTCGCTATTGAGTCCAAGAATTCTATGTGAAGGAAATGGAAATCTGTCTTCCTGGAGTTTTAGCAACATTTATTTATCTTCTGGACTCAGGAATATTCGAGGGCCCTGGCATAGCTGATGACAGGATTACATGGTGGGCGAAGAACAATGGGTAATCCTGCGTATGGGTACCAATATTCGAAGGATACCAAAGCGTTACACTATTTGGCCGTGGGAGGTCTGGGTAATACATTACGTTTCCGTATTCCAGTCAGATTCATCGCCACAGTTATGGTACAGGTGGGAGGTTAGCTGCGAGTCATGGAAATATTACAATATAAACATGATATATATGCGTGCGTTATGGATATCATCATTGTGTTTTTTCAGGATTATTTTTGTCTCCTTCGAGATTCATATGATATTCTGACCTTATACGCGTTTTTACTGGTTCTCACTGATGATCTATTGGTTAACATTATTTTGCTTTTTTAACCATGTAAAGCTAATAGATTCCATGTTGCCACAGGTATACACAGTCATATATCATAGTTCTTGACGTCAAAACGTTATAAGTGCTTTATTAAAGAAATAGAAACGCGCCGAGTGCATTGTTGAGTTATATAAGCGCGCGGGAATTTTTAAGAGCACGAGAGAAGTGCGGAGAAGTGCTGAACATTTCATAAAACTCGTTATAAATGCTTAGAGAAATGTGTGCGACGTGATTGGTCAGAACGGGTTTATTATATTTCCATAAAGCACGCGCCATATGTCACACTAGTGCACTGTTGAGATATAATGCACGCAGCCTACGTCATCGGTACGAGCGCACACAATTTACGATACATAATGGTAATAAGACCGAGTGGAGTCCAATTCGGTCAGTAATCATACGAGTGACAAAATTTGAGAAAGAAACTAGACATCGGTTATGCGTTTTCATTTTAAAGAAAAGCAACAACAACAGTTAACTCGGCGGAATGCAGGACAACAGCGTGCGCGCATGACGCGTTCTATCCACTTACACAGGCATGACGTGTTAACTGTCCTATTACACTGTCCGGCAATTACAAGCATGACGCTCATACTGTCCTATCAGTGCTCAAATCGGGCTGTTGATGACCAATCACATTCGAGAAATTTGTTATAGTTTTGATTAGTTTTATAAAAGAAATAAAAACTTGTTCCTCGAGCATTGTTGAATTATATAAGCACTTGGGGATTTTTAAGAACACTCGAGAAGTTTGAGAATCACTTACCCTCGGCTCGTGCTTCTTCGCACTTCTCTCGTGTTCTTAAAAATTCCCGCGTGCTTATATAACTCAACAATGCACTCGGCGCGTTTTTCATTTCTTTAACACACTCAGCTGCACCTCGTGTGCCAATATTTTGTTCTTCCCACATTTTGACGTCATCTGGGATCTGGGGTCTGTTCTATTGACCAGACGCATGGAACAGTAACAGATGTTCAAGGCGAATTATGTTCAGAAAACATACAATTCTGGACCTAACGGGCCATGCAATGGACATAAATCTAAAATAATGTACAGAAATGTCTTAGTTGGAAGAACGGTATAATGCGTCCTATATGGTACCAGGAATAATACTGTCATGCTTTGATTTGTGGTCAAGTCACACTTGAGCAAATTTTATCAACTTTGTTGGATGCCAACAATGTTCACAAAATGTGGGTTTTATACGACACAGTGACAAAAGCGTGAAAGCAAAAAGCTCGCAGTACAAAGGTCAGAGAAGAATACTCTCTCTGTTATATATTCACCACAACGTCATGAAACCCATCCTGGTCTGATTCCAGAGCCGTTTTGCTTGAGGGTAAAGCGTGTGAACCCTTTGGTTACCCCGTTTCCCCCATATCTATGGTCTGCAAGAATGTTGGATGAACTTTCTCTTGTCTAGGGGTGGAGAAAGTTGATTTGATGGAAACGAGTTAAGTGCCTGATCAGCAGTTGTTCTCTTGCCAATAGTTGCTTCATATGCATTTATTTGGAACCGAGATCATATAAAGCCTTAAGATTTGTGAAAGTTAACTTGTTGATGTAAACAACTAACCCAAAACAGATTTCCGATTCTACCACGTTTTCGCCCCGAAATTAGAATTCAAATTTGCCGTTTCGGCTGCGTCCAATCAATGTGACCGCGTTCTAAGGGCCTGGTTACTAGTGTCATTGTTTCGGGTAATGTTTACGTTCATAACTTCAACCTTATTTGATTGATTGTCCTTCGTTTTGAGTATTTTCTTTTTGTTAGCGATTGAACAAGATACCAAAGACGAACTTGCAAAGGATCAAAATGATGTATCCACGATTTGCGAAAAAAATGTTAAAATTTCAAAACCCTGTAAGCAATATCACACGTTATATAGACACTTATATAGATCACCTCTTTAATCTAATTTGAATATTCTTTTCTGAATTTGGAAATATCATACTGAGTACTGTCCCCTATTGATCGAGGATTTGACGGATTTGACGAGGATTTGACGAACTTGCGTAAACATGTTTCTATTTACATGGCAGCGTTGGGCCGGTTTTTTCTGTGATCCTGATTGGTTTAAATTGATTGCCATGACCAGATGATAGAGTTCATTTAAGGATAGACACCATCAAACGATATGGCCCGTCTAGTAGGAAATACCTGAATAAATACGCGTCGGTCTAAAATGAGTAACATCGGTAAACTTTGTTCTAAAATGGTCCTTTGATTTGTGGGGGTAAATGTTTGCGATATTTTAACAGGGGTGTGTTAAAAAAGAAAATTAAAAAAAAAAAAACGTATTGGTGATGTTACCAAGGACAATTGGAATGATTCCTCGTTTGTTATGTGAGCTATTTCTCTGTATTGCCTCCCTCCTCTATTGGCTTTCTCTAATCAGCGACAACTTCCCCCTCAAAATACGCCAGGAATGTAGACGTGTGACATCGATGTAGTCGCCTTTAAGGGTCAGTTTGGGTTCTAACTTAAATATCATGAATAAGTTCTTTTCTCAATAACAAACCCCATCTTTCATTTGAAAATTTTTTTCTCTCGAGCATGGAAAACAAATGTTATGAAGAGTTAGCGAGCTAGAATGGATGGAAAAGAATACTCCAGTTCCGAAGGTGTGTCTCGAAGCCAATCATGTTCCATAACTATCAATCCATCGTGTACGAGCCAATCAGAATGTCGCTCCACCCGCGACTCGGTTCTCTGTGCGTTGGATGACTGTAATGTTTGTAAATTAGTGTCGTGTGAGGTGTTCTGTGGACGTAATATTTGGAAGCTGTTTCCAAATATTGAGAAATGGCGGGTACTTCTTACACGGCTTCACTTCGAGGAGGTGGCCCGTGGGGTTTTCGACTGCAAGGTGGCAAAGATTTTGGCAGTCCTTTGGCGATTTCGAAGGTATCACTCGATGTAGTTTTCTAATTCATAGGGTAGTTCGAATGACTGGGGTGCAATGTAATTGTGTGTTTAGCTAAACCTGACTGATTTGCACGCGATTTCGACGCTCTTCTTTATAGGTGACACCAGGTTCTAAAGCCGATCTTGTTGGAATAAAATCAGGGGATTATATTCGCGAGGTAAATGGTGACACCACGGAGAACATGAGTCATTTCGAAGCTCAGGATTGTGTCAGGAGGGCTGGGCAGAATCTCGACTTACTGCTTGAAAGGTAAGATAATATGCCAAACTGAATGAATTTCCCACAGCTTTAATAGCTTTCAGGTCTACGTAAAATTATGACCGGCTTTTAGCTCTGAAATATGCGTTCTTCAAATTGCGGTATATCGAGTGTTCTGCGGTGAAATGTACAACCTTCCATAATTTCGTGTCGTTTGTCTATTTGGATAAATTCACACCAGGAGACAATAAAAGAACTTATTTGCATATACTTGGCGAGTAACAAACGCTTTCCATGGAGGAGAAACGTTTTCTCTTCGTGATGACCATAGATGGAAATATTCCTTCAGAACAGTTACGTTGGGGAAAAGGAATTGGCTAGTGAAATGAGCAACAATTCTTGTGGGTGTAATGTAATTCGATCGTGATGAAGCTTTCCGCAGATAGTGGACGCCAAGGTTGACTGTTGATTAAAGATTCTTGAAAATGTTTGCCAAACTAACGTCTTTGTTCGTTCTGAACATCTATCTCTCCGGGGCTGTTGGTAAAAAGCTCTCGAGTGATTATTTTCGCTTGTTGTTCTTTGTAAAAGCAGTGTACGATCAATCGAGGAGAAAGTGATAGAAAGTGATATACAGTATAAAGCAATTTTTGTTGCAGTTTCTTGCGCATATTTTCAAAACACATTGATTTTCCTGCACTCCAGAATTTGCTGCACCCGACAGATTCAAAGCGAGGTGTATGTTAAAATCAGTGAATAACTTTTTCAGTGGGCAGTACTTGTTTATTATAAATACAAAAGTTCATGTAAATTTTATTGTGCCTCGATTAGTAAGATTTTGGCAGAGTTCGATCCGATTAAATCTGACTTTGCAGAGTCTATTTTAGTATGTTCGAAAGGTTTTTTAGCGTTTTATAAACAATCTTTGGTAGTCTTTGACGATTAATTATCCTGTAACTGTCAGCGGGTAATTCTTCGGCAAAAATTGCCGGTTCGAATGTGAAGATTAATTTTATCTCATGAATATCTTCGATTAGTGATTCTAGAACATGTCTATTCCTTGTTTGGTATTCTCGTGTCAAAAGAATGTGATATTTTGAGAAGACCTAAACAATGATGTGAAATGTGTTCTAAAAATACTTTTGTTTCTTAGAGAAACATGTAACAATTTATTACATGAGCAAATTTCATTTCGCCGCAGGAACCTTATCTCTTTGTTAATTTATGTGAGTGAGTCATCCATAGATAAAATCCCTTTGTTTTAAATCTTGAGTTCTTCTGAAGAATTGGAAAATTGTATTGAAAATCAGGAATTACGTTGTCATATTTAGATGTCTTGGTTTGAAGCAAGAAGTAAATGTTGGTTCAACACCTAATCTTTTTGCTAAGAAATACAACTTTTTAACTAAGAAATACAAGCTTTCTTTATTATTTATAATTAGTACAGACTAATAATAGATTAAGTTACCTGATGATGAGCCACATTTGGTTGGATAGCTTCCAAGCCTTGACTGGTTTGCCTTCAACATGGAATGACTCGTGTGAATGTCTCTTTTATGTATTACCCAAGAAAGTGAGTTGGCTTGTGATGCTTTTTCATAGCCTGCATAGCTTGCAATCCTATCAGCACTGTAGAGGTTTGTGTGGGCCTAGTGATGAGTGTTAAAACTGCATCTGGAAAGAAAAATGCCCACCTATGAGAAAGGCGGTTTGTCACCCTCTTTGACAGCTTCTTAGTTATTCCATCAATACAAGTGAGCATAACTGATGGTTGGTAATATGAAACTGGTTGCTTTGTTAACATTCATGTAAAGTATATTGAAACAAACTTATGGAGGCAGTTAGTGGAAATTAATGGTGGTTTGTGGAAACACCTCTGAAAGGGCCTCTAAGTATATGGGAAACTTCTGAAAAATATAATGTATACTGGGTCATGAGTCAAGCTCGAGCCCAAGTCAAGTTCAAGTCACGAGTCAAGTTTCAGTCAACTTCAATTTTTCCCTTTTTTTTGCTTTTAATCTTCTTGTTTTCTGTTTAGCTTTGTTTTGATTTCTCTGTCAAAATGATGTATCAAGGAAACAAGAACACCTTGTTTCACACTTAAATTGTTTTTGTGGCCATTTGTAAGGGTTGATTCTGTACTGCTTCACAGCAGTGTTCAAAGAAGTAAACATTCCAAGGTATCGACAAGTTTTCCCCAAGGATTCCAATTTCTTTTGATTACATACCTAAGACAGAAGGTCTATTTCAATGACAAACTGTCTTAACTGACTCAGAGTATTTAAAAAGAAAAACCTGGTACTGATTTCTTGCACTTGACTGCCATCTTGCATCCACTGGGATCCCATACATGTAGAAGAGTAACACTTCAAGCTATCTCATTTTCTCCTTGGCCAAAAGTTTGGAAAAAGTTATTATTCCTCCGTTTGATATATAAATTTCCCTTGTTAAAAAGTTTTGAAGCATCACCAAGTTTTGGAGACATTGTTACAGGATGTGTGGAATATCTAAAGCATGATATACATAGTGTTGTATGCATGAAGAAGAAATTGATAATTAACAAGACAAATTTTTTTCTTAGTTAGAGCATCAGTTGTGGTTATTACAGGGGTTTTATGTGTCTTAACGAACAATAACAGCCTTTTAAATGTTTTGTAAATTTTGTGACAATTCTGTAACACTTAAAAGGTCTGAGAGCACTTAGCAACAATTTAGAATGCAGAAATTCTTGTCTGTGGCAAAATTGATACAGAGGAAATAAGCTGCTTCAACTGAAGTAAAAGGTGAACAACTTCATATTTCGCCAACAGGGGAAAAATTGAAGTTACTCCTGACTCAAACTAGACTCACTCTTTCACTCTTGAAATGTATAGAAAAGTATGGAGAATGTTGAGATGTAATAGGAATGCAAGAAATACTGCAAAAAGATATCAATAATTTCCTAATTAGAGACTGATCTCAGCACCAGAGTTAAAGTAATGTTTTCTATCCTGTGTTTGTCAGGAAAGAGGGGACTAAAACAGTTACAGTGACAGAAACTGTACACTCTGCAAAGGTGGATCACAAATTTAATGCAAGGGCAAAACCCTTTGGTGCATCATCACCTCCAACTCAGACCCCGCAGCCATCAGTTCCAGTTGCTGTCCACTCATCTCCAGCAGGTAACACATCCTGGCAGCCGCCAACATTCCAGGCTCAACGTGCTCCTGTTGCAAAAACTGGACCAGCAGGATTGTCAGGTCCCCCAACTCCTCCACCGCCCCCAAATCCAGCTAACTATGCCAGGTGTGTACAAAGGAGAATTCAAACCTCAGCCAGTTCTTTGTCTGATTTTTTGAGTCAGATGCTCTGTTATTGGAGCAACAGAGAACCTTTTTGGTAATCTTTGGTTAGTATTGGCAAAGAAACCAGGTACACCAAATCAAATTTTCTATTAATTTTGTGGTCGGACTTTTTGTTTTAGAGGAAGCCCTGATCACCCAGACAGTGGAGTTTCAAGACCAAGCTATGATGACAGAGATCTTGCTCAACATTTTAAACTTGATATCAGTGATGATGGAGATGGTGAGAGAATGATTTCTTATGGTACAAGTAGCAACAGAGTATTGACCTCTAAGAGTGACCAGCATCTAATTTCTCTGTACAATATCACCCCAAGAATCAAAATAGTGAAGGAAATGATAATTGACAAAAAGCTCTTGATTGTTAAACAAATTCTCATAGTCAACACCTTAGGAAATGTGTAGAGACCATTGTAGAGAATAGGCATGGATGTGAGGATGTGAAGGGGGCAGTGTGGAATTGTGCATTAGGGACTCCTTACTAAGAGACGTGGGAATCTATGAACACTTTTATTTGATGCTGATAGGTCAGTTGTGTGCCAATTAAGCCCAATAAAGTTCATGACGTGCAAATATCAAACCTAAAATAGAATTATTTTTGTTTTGTTTTCTCATGTCTAATAGGCAAATTTACCTGTAAATTTCAAAAGATCTCTAAGAGTCTTTTGGCAGGGACGAAATGCTATGTCAAAAAAGCCAGAAGGTTTCTTTTTTTAACAGAGAAACAACCATTTAGTGACAAGTACCAAAAGCTCTTTTCGTTAACATGTTGTTGTTTTTTCCAATCAGTGGGCTTTGCTGATGAGCCACCAACTTGGGGTCATCCGCCAGATCCCAAAGTCCAGTCCAAGTCTTTTAAGAGACTTCAGAAACATCTGCAGGAAGCAGATGAGGATGGTATGTATAAAGTGCTTGAATTCTTCGTATTACCTTTAAATTCAAAAGTGCCACCCTCTCAAGCAAGAGTGAGGCCAGGCTCTGCTACAGTTATTTGAATTGATCTATTATTGAAGCAACTTTTTCTTGATTAATAAAAGTTATCTTAGGTTTGCATTGGGTTTATACTGCTTTGCTCTATTATTGGTTGGGAGAAATAATGCACCCTCTCAACCAATTAGAAGCAAAAGTGAAATCAATCATGACTGGGGTGTCCCCCCTTTTTTCAGTACTTGGAACAGTTTTCTGGTTGTTATCTTGAATTTTCATGGCTCATCTTAATATTTTCCTTTGCCCTGATTGGCCATCATGACATCTTTGGTTTTGGTCATAAACCACTGAAAGTGCTCTGGCTTTCTATTACATGTATTTAAGCCTGGGCCTACTTTGGTTTTGAACAAAGACTTAAAAGCCAGTATACATAAGTTAGTAGTGATGCAAAATCTGTTTTTGTTCCTTTTGACAGATTTACCTCCACCTCCCCCTGAGGCTTATAATGAACCTGAGGAGGATGCAGATAAGCAAGTGCAATCAAGAACTTTTAAAATGCTTCAGGATGCTGTGGAAGGAGGAGGTTGATATGATATTTTTTCTGTCTAATTTATAATGGTAATTGAACTGAGTGGAGTGCAATTTGGGCTGAAATCATACGCGTGATTTCAAAATTGAACGAGCGCGTAGCACGAGTTCAATTTGAAATCACAAGTATGATTTCAGACCAAAATTGCACAACACAAAGTTCAATTACCACTTTATTACATCCATTTTGAAATCACCCAAATACAGGACTTCAAATATTTTGTTATTACAATACTGAGCCAGTTTCAAATTAAATTAATCCATTTTTTGAGAGGAAAAAATAAGAGTTTTGGAAACAAAAGTTGCAAAATTTGCCACATGACACTTCATGTCTTTCATCTTCCTGCAATTTGATCGGTTACTTTAAACAAGCCTTGAAATCTGATTGGTTGCAAAAAAATGGTGCAATTTGTGAATAAATCGCACCAATTAGAGCCAATCAGATTACAGGGACCACCAGTGATTTCAAAATGGGTGTAATAAACCTGGATATTTTTTAATACATAGAGTCACAAATGAATCAAGCAAATAAAACTAGAGCAGTGCATTTGTGTCTGCTGATGATAACAAATAAAGTACTTATTCACACAGGTGAACTGCAAATTGCAGAAAAAAAATTATTTGATTTTATTGACTGATTTGATTTTGTGAATTGGCCACTGCAAAAATATTATAAAGGATGATGTTTTGAGGGATAGACCTTGGTCAGTGTGAAAATCAATTTTTTCCAATGAAGGACTAACAATCAACTTTTCAGCTTTAGAATTTCCTTACAATATTAAGCCAACTAACATTGTCAACTCAGTTGATCAAACCAAATTTCTAGTAATACTGACCACTAACTTGGCACCTCAGTTTCTTTAGAAACTTACCACCTTTTATAGATGTACAGAAAAAGAAGCTTGTAGAACTTAAAGTTCTCTTGTTTCTTTATCTGCTATTTCTTCAACTGCAGTGCAATTGTAACAATCTGAGTTCTGCATTTGTTCAGTTGAGTGTTAGTAAAACATGGTAGATTTTTGGTTGTTCTTCACTGCAGATCTGAAAAAGTTCATTAAAAAAATGATTCAACCAAAGGCTGGTGATAAGATTAAATTCCAATCATTGACATGCCCCCAACAATACTCCCAACTAATACAGTACATCAATATTTAGAGATGACTTTAAGGCTTTCACTAAAAATTAAAGTTTTCTCAAGATATCTTCATCTTCTAGTTTCTAGAAAGACTTAAATATGCAACCTATAAGGCTGGAAAAAAATGTTGAATTGTGTTCTAGTGTTGATTTATTAGGAGAGGGCAATTGATGTATTACATGTACATATATTTTTGTTTTCATGCAATTTGAGAAAATAACTGGTATGGCTAATCATCCTTAGAGGAAGAGGAAACTCTTAACCCATAACTTCTTTACTTCAGTATGCACATTCTCCATACTGCACTCTATATATTTCTTAAGATGCTGACGAGGAGCATTTGTTTAACAGTCAAGAGTTTCTCTGCTTGGTGATCATTTCCTTTTTTCAAGTGACCTTCGTGTGTGATTCAGGGGCGATATTATTGGGAGAAATTAGATTCTAGTGACTCTTAGGGGTCAAAGGGTTAATGATATTACCAAGTGTTAATCCTGTTATGCCCATCACTATGAATGCCTTTGTTTGAAATTTAATTCAAGACGGATGTGCTATGTTGTCAGTGAAGCCATACCAGAAAACCTGAAAAGTCATCACATTTAATCTTATACTCCTAAAAGACAATTTTTGGGATAAGATTACTTCTTTTTATACAAGTTGTTCTTTTATATTTTGTCATGTTCAGCTGAGTTCAGTGAACCTTTTTATCAAATTTCCTGTGATATCTTCTTTCTAGTATATGTTACCTTTAATTTATTATCTGTGGCAAAGGGTTTTGAGAGAAATAACATCTTGAAATGAAGGATATAAATATTTTTTGAGTGTTAAACAACTTCTTTTTATAGATGCTCCAGGGAGTGTCTTTGACAGGCAGAAGGCAGATCGCTCTAAGCCTTCCAATACTCCGCTACCCAAAATGTACAGACCCAATCCACCCGTTATCAAACCTGCTCGGGATATGCCGGTGGCTCCACCTGCGCCAGTCATGGCCAGGCCAGGCCAGCCTGCCCCTGTTGCATTACCAGGGATGGTTCAGATGAACCAGCCGTCTGAGCCAGTGCGGCATCCAACACAGAAACTACCGTCATCTGCCTCTCCTGCGGCATTGTCTCCTACATCATCCCCTGGGCAGCCTGAATGGAAGAGGACACCTTCAAAGCCCCCTTCTGCACACTCTGTAGAGGAGACCAGAACTCCTTTTTGTGATGCTTGTGGAGAGGAAGTTTTGTAAGTTTTTTGTGGCTAAGATAATTCAGACAAGCCTCTAAAAGTTTTCTGTGGAGGAGTTTATTTCAATGCAGTGCCTGAAGTTTGTAACAATTGGGTCATTCTGTTGATGAATTGAATGGAAAACTAAAACCAGATATGATTGGTTCAACATGTTTTGCTGTGCATGATGTTATTCCTACTTTGATTTCTGATTGGGCCTGATTGGGATATTCCTCTGTTTGTGGGATGTATAGACATGGTTCCACAGCTCAGGAAAAAGTCAAGAAAGAATAAATTTAAGTTGGTTTGCGAATGGAATCACAAATTTTCCTTTTCTTCTATTTTCAGTGTTTTCTAACTTTTCAAATTCTTTGATGTAAATGATGTAAATTGGATTCTTTTTCCATGGTACCACAAGGAAAATTTTCAATTGATGTTCATTGTTTTATATGGCTGTAGAGTATGGCTGTAGAGTATGGCTGTAAGGGGAGGTTCAAGGCCTAGATTAGGATTTGTTTGATATGTAATTGTTAATTCAGGTTAGGGAAACTTTACGTTTGTCATGATAAAGTCAGGGAAAAGTCAAGGAATTCCAAAAACTTATGACTGTGGCAACCATGATAGAGTTATTATTCAGATGTTGTAAGTCAAAGGAATCATCACATATAAGGGAGAGAACTGAAAACAACCTTACAACCTTGTAACCTTGCTGCAAGTGTTTCACTTGGCCCTTCAGTTCTAGTTGTCTGACATCACTAATGTTTTTTGTTCTTTTGTTGTAAAATAGTGGACCTTTTGTGAGTGCAATTGGTAAGGCATGGCATCCACATCATTTTGTATGTGATGGATGTGGTGAATCATTACAGAACCAGGGCTTTATTGAGGAGGGTGGAAAACTGTACTGTGAGAAGGACTTTAATAAGTACTTTGCTCCTCATTGTGAAACTTGTAAGCAGCCTATAGTTGGGGTGAGTACATCATTTTGGTTATTTACATGTATGCGTTTGTAGGTAATGATGATAAGATATAGCTATCAAGATTATTGTTATTCATAGGTCTTATTTACCAGTTAAAAGAAAGATCATTGGCAAAAATGTTAGGGGTAATTCAAAAGCAGTTTTCTTTAGGCAATTTATTAGGATTTGATAAAAACAAATTATCTGTTAGTTGGAAAGTAATGAGTATCAATGCTTGATTGAAATAGTTTCAGGGATTTCTTCATCTTAGTATTTTTTTATCTGTTTGAAAAACACGGGTTTCAGTTTAATCCTTTTCCTTTTCCACCAATTATCTTTCTTGAAACTGGTTAATCAGACCTACATGTAGTGTACGTATCTTGAAGGCTCAAAATTTTAGGAACAGAGGTCCTGTTTTCAGCCCTTATTGAGTCTTTGTGTTGTGTGCTTGGGAAAGACACTTTACTTTCACATTGCTCTTTCAACCAAGGGTAAACTTGGTAAACAGCAAACTGTTCAGGAGGCCTGATGATTTGCTGATAGGTAATCTGCAATGGGGGTAACATCCCTCTGTAGAGGAGCAATCTGCCTTGAGAAGTAGAGTGACTTTGGAAGGATGCATCACTCATGGAAGGGAAAGAAATGAATAGACAAAGTTTACATTTATTTAGTTGTTCTGTGAGAGAGAAATCTGCTAGTTATGTCAGAGAATTTGTGCACCCTTCCTAAAAAGTTCATCATGCACACAAATTAAGGTGTCAAAACTTAACTCAAATCAATAGTTACTATGTATTGTGTTATGTAAGAGTGCTCCCAAGACAGAAAAAATGATTGAAATGCTATTGATGATAGAATTTTTCCATTGTTTATAAAAGGAAATAGGCATTAAGAGTGAGTCTCTCTCTCTTAAAGGGAAGTGCTTTTAGTAAGTTGTGTGATATGTTCATGGGGTTATTTATGTTTAACAATTAGTCTATGAATTGGTGTGTTGCTACTGCGAGGTAAGTTAAACAGGAGAACACACATTTTCAACTGGAAATAACAATTAGATGTTGCATATATTTTTATCAGAATTGTGGTCTTAATTTACTCCTCTTAAACTTTGTCTGAAGTATGTTTTTTTGGATGGAACTTACATCAGACTTTGAAACGGTCAGTAAAGTAGTTCTCTGACTACTGACAAGTGTTCTGTGGTAACTTAGAATGCCAATGTTTCTGTATGCTTTGAGACATGCTCAGAACCTTAGGAAAAATTCAGAATCCTGTGGAGCATTTTTCATAACTATCTGGAAATCCTCACCCTTTTGCACACTAAAAGAAGGAGTTAACAGTTGTAGACTGTCATTTCTGATTTTGCCTTGTCCATAAATAAACATGTGTCTCCTAAGTTTGGCCGAGAGATATCGATTGAAAGAATGCTGTGAAAGTTTCTCCCTTCTTGGTCCTTCAAATTTTGAAATGGAATGTCATCAAGCACAGAATTGAAAAAAAGAAAATGGTTTGAATCTAGATTTGAAAATTTGTTCCTTAGCCTATAAAGCACATTACACATTTATCACTTATCTTAGTGTCTGTATATTACTGAACGTAAGCCATTTTTTTCTCGTAAAATCTAATGTTTTACATTCAAATTCAAAATGATAGAATGAATAGTTTTCCTTGTTTGTAAAACAAAAAACATTTTTTCTAAAAGCATTCCTAACTCTTCAAGAAAGTTAGTTTTGTTATGGCCATGAAATAAATTATATTTTTAGTTTTGCACTTGTCCCACTGAAGCCTAAGTGTTGTCTTAAAATTACTGTTACAGTCACGTGACTGGCACGGGCAATTGTAAAGTACCTCTAAAGGTAGTGATTTCACGGAAACAAATATGCAAAAATTCGAAAGAGGGGAATTCCTGTTTTGCATAAAATTTTAAACTGAGTTTTTTGATTGACTGTGCGAAGCTCTGGTTAAGTACTTAAAAATTTTGGACTTGTCAGAAATTTAGTTAGGCAGTGATTTTTTGCACGCGGTGTCTTCATGTTTAAGACAGACATTTACATGTAAAAATAGGAAGGGAAGCGGTATTTGTAGAAAAGAAGCGAAATTACTAAATAATCTGATAAGAGAATGCGGCACGCCGACAACCGAAACTAAGCAAACTTTTGCACTGTCTCTACCAAAATGGTTGATCTGGTGTGTGTAAATTTATTGCTTTAGCCAGCGGTTCAGTTTTTCTTTTCACACCGGCCTTGCTTTTAGAATTGATTGACAGTAAACTAGCGTGTAGTTACAACCCTTCACTGGCCTTAAGGAAACCCACTTCGATCACATTAAAGTGGAATGGAGTTGCCTGAATTTCTCTGGCTGAGAAGGAGATGATACTACGAGAGGAACAGTGAACAGACCGCTAGTTTGGTTGTGTTACAAAAATACCCCTTTTAACGTGACCTACGAGATTCATCTGTTTGCTCTCGAGGAGGAAAAGTGGAGGATAGACTGACCATCTCTCGTGCTTGGAACAATAAGAACTGCCGGCTGTTTCAAGGCGTGTACATCACGTGAGAGTCACATGGCAAGAGGTTTTGAAATGTCTACTTGGTGTACGAAATTTCTAGTTGTGTCGAGGGAAAGGAGCCATGCGCACTGCCTTATGTAAAAGCCCAACTTTTCAAGACGTAGCTAATCCAAGCAAAAGCTGTGCCACACCATTGTATAAACTTCTATTTTCACTGCTATAACAAACTGTTAGTAGAAAGCACTTAGAGATAGCATAGTTCAGTGATCTCTCCTAGTAATTCTTTATAACCATGCACGTTACTCGTTGCATTTTAAATACTTTCCATTACCACAAATAACTGCCATAGTAAACACGCTAAACTTCTTTCCTCGAAGGTAGATCAGTAACGTCTTTGTGGAGCCGTTTTTGGGTGACGTTTGTCTCTGCGTGTTTTCCTCTCGAAAAAAAAACCCAACTTTAAAAAAAAAAAAAAAAATGGGAAACCCTTCACATCGTCATCCGAACGGGATTTGTACTGAATGAGAGCGAGTGAGGGTCTCAAGTAACAGTGTAACGAGGGTAATGCTTTAAATGCTGTGTAACAACTGCAAGCACTTAAATCAAAAAAGAAATAACTTATTACAACTAAGTAACCTGCTGCTCACCTGCACTGCACTGTTTTGTCGAAAAAAAAATTTCAATAAGATTCGTTGTTCTTTCATGTTCAAGTTCTTTCATGGATTGCTCGGCCAGACTTCGGAGTGAAAATTGATCATTTCGTTGTCATTCTAACATTTGACGTAGGTCTTTGTGACGCGATGTATTTATTTTCCTAAATTTGCAGCCAAAGAGTCTGCATTCATGCCCACCAGCGGTGCCTCCACCGTCGAGTGCAATGCTTAAGGCAATACGCGAGGGTTCCATGAATTCCAAAAATCCTACAGAAGTCACCGCAAAAGCGAAAAACAAAAGATTTAACAGTGCGTTAACTTTAAAGAAAGAACCAGAGGAAAACCACGCTGAATGGATGAATGGCCATCAGTCCAATTATCCTTCATCCGGATATGGAATAAGCTATCTTCAGAAAAGAACCTCGTTTGAGAGTAAGAACAATTTGCCGGCTTCCTCGGGAGTTTCAAATGCAGCCAGGGTTGGAACTTCAGACAATGCTCGCGTAGAACCTGGGGTGGGGTCCATACGGGAGAAAGTTGTGTCCTTAAAGGAGGCTGTTCGTAGCGCTACTGAACGAGAAGCCAAAGCCAGAGAAGGAATACCTCCCGCTGTAAAACGCTTTAAAGAAGCGAAAATTTTACTGGCAAAACTCGAGCGCAAGAGATTCATAGCCGAGGATAAGGTAGCTAAGCTAGAAGATCGTATTCAGGATCAACAAAGAAGATTAGATAGTAAATACAGATCTCTGAATGAGAACTGGCAGGTAAACCATAAGATCGAGCGCCAGAAATCAGACGACTTGAGGAACATTAGAAACATCGAGTATGAACTGACGGAGGTGAAAGCAGCAAGGGAGGCTTCTATGCTGCGCGCTCGCGAGGCGTCGCGCCGCGCCGTTGTCATCCAGTCCGCGCTTCAAAACGCGGAAGACCGAAAGCGCGAGCTTTACTCGCGCAAACGCACGTTGCAGGACATGTTGGAAATGTACCGCAAGCGAATGAAAGATCTGAAGAACACGTACCAAGAGAAAGGCGCCACTGTAGAAAACAAATTCCTACAGATGAATCTGATGGAGGATTACATAGCAGATAGCAACGAACGCTTTGGTCGGGCAGAGAGAAGGCTGCTACCTCTGAAGATCTACATCAATCAACTACATGATTCCATCGACCAGGCGAGAAACGAAACCCGCCATGCAAGTTACCTTCTGGCCAACTGTCAACAGCGGCTGAAAGGACGAAAATACACTTACTATCCGTTTGATAAATAACGTTCCAATCGAGCGAGTGTTCGTCTGTAGAACAAACTAGCTTTAAGAAAAAAACGATACAAGCGGAGTAGAGTTCCTTTGTGGTTGTTGCTTCTGTCTCTGGTATTGCTGAAGTGACTATTGCGCCCAGTTTTTCAGAGATTTTTTCTTTCTCATGTTTAGTTCCCTGTAGTAAGCATTTAAAAGCACTGTAGTTACGTTGATTTAGTGGTTGAAGATGCACCGTGGTTGAGAACCAAAGTAGTAAGGGATGTTGTGCTTGTTTCTTCGGTTTCTAGTCTCGTACTTTGGGGCCGAACTAGAGGCATCCCACTGTTGTGTTCTGCAGGCTCCTAACCCTAACTGTTCAACCGAGGAGGGGTAAGGGGAACAGAGCGCAATTTCCAAGGCCCAGTTAGCTTGACCTGTAATCATCAAAGTGGGTTAAGGTTGCTGACGGGAATATCATTTGGTGCCTTCATTTTTTATACATGGAGAGTGTTCTTACAAAAATTGTAAGGCAGCGTAGAAATATTCTTATTAACACTGGTTTGCTGTGCTAGCGATCTGAACAGACGCGTTGGTTCCAGCACAAGTCATACGAGTCGTATTTAGTTAGTAGAGTAGTAATTACATTTAATCATTATTTTCTTTGAAGTGAACTGATGAATTAGTGTCTATCCTATGGTGGCTACTCAAAATTCGTAGAATCCATCGAATCTTTCTAGTCTAACGTAGAAAGTAAAAGCGTACCTCATTCTTTTATACTTTTACACTTACATGAATAGTTTTAGAAACGCTTGTTTGTTTTGTACAGTATGGAAGAGTTTGAAAAACATTAAGTTCTGGTGTAGTGTGTATGAATATATACAAAGTGTAGGTTCATGTTGATCAAAGGCAGTGCTATTTTTGTACTCATGTGTAGGCAGACCTTATTCGGAAAGCTAGAGATCTAAATGGAGGCAGAAAGGTTATTTTTCTCCCGTTAATTTGCCTGCTTATGATAACACACTCCTTCATTGCTCAACAGGAGTATATTGTTGATGCCAGTAAGATACACACTTTTCTAAGAAAAAACGTATTTTCAAACACAAGGAATAATATATTTTTTAAAGTAATTATATTTACTTAACAAGATATTTATTTTATAGTTTTGAAATTAACTTTCTGATGTTTTTTTTAAGTTCATCTCCTGAATTTAGTCATTAAATTTAGCTTTTCGAAATAACTCGGTGCCTAAGATATTGTGCAGTTGACTTAATGCGGTGGTGGCAGTTCTTCGGTAATCAGCGTGAATTGTCGGATCATTTTCGGACATCTCAGGAGGTTGGTTTAAGTCATTATTTCTAACAATTTTGGTGACGATTTTCTCACCTGTGGTCCTGAATAGCAACAGCAGCAATTTTCCGATTTTTTCAGTCGTTGGAACAGGGATGACTAAGGATGGAGAAGATTTTAAAAGGATGTGGCCAAATGTTTTCAAAATGCACATCGATAAATAACGTTTCAATGGAGAGTAAAACTTGGTCAGTGATGGATTACGTTCTTCCTCTCTAGGAGGTGTCCGTCTATGTAACAGAAGACTCCTGTACTCCTGCTTTACAGAAGAAAAGTAACGCGTTTGTGCGGCGCTTCATGATGCTGTTACCCTGTAATTTTCTGATGTGCTTGATGGCAATCCATAACTCAACATCGAGGCTTTGAGTACACCTTCGAACGGCACATGTATTAATATTTCTTTACCACCTTAAATCGGGTTGCTCTGGTTGCCCCCCCCCCCCTCCCCCACCACTGGTGTTTTTTCTTAAATTATTTTTTACAACGTTTTTGAATCAAGAAGGTCTGACTATGACACCCTTACAGACGTTAAATTGATAGTACCTACAGACAGATCTTAGAGTTTTACAGAGCTGTCGAAGCAAAAGCGACGTGTCTGAAGTACTAAGAAATTAGCTTATGTAACAGTCACGTTCGAATGAAGCCAAAGCTGAGTGACGTATCTTTTCCAATGACTTCGTTTTGACAGCCTTGTGTTCAAGCTGTGGGGAAGACATTCCATCCGGAGCACTTCATCTGCAGTCATTGCGGAAAGCAAATCGGATCCGAGGGCTTCAATGTTGATCGGGGAAAACCATATTGTGAGGACGATTATAAGAAATTGTTTTGCGTAAAATGTGCACTGTGTAGGCGGCCGATCGGTGGAGGCGAACGATGGGTAGAAGCATTGGGAGAACCGTGGCATGCTTCCTGCTTCAAGTGTCAGGTAAGCAATCATTCGGGGTTTGCCCAAGTGAAGGATGTGTAGCGCGCTTTACTCCGGGTCAAGAGATCTGGGCTCGAGACCTGGGCGGGTCTGACAAAATGGTGGAGGGTCACCACCATTCTATCTAGGGAGAGAAGCAACACTCTTAGTCACTTCAGGATAAGTTTCGTCTGGATGGTCCTCTTGCTTTAGTACAGAAAAGAATGTGCGCGGTGATCTAGTGGATGGTGTCTTAAATAAGTCTAGCCATTGTAACTGCAACAAAGTGCATATTTCACGGAGAGCTGTATCCATGCTAGAATTGGCTGCGGTTAAAACATAAATGATACAGTTTTTTTGACATTCTGTGACTAATTTGTTTTTCCTTTTTCTTCTATTCTACCACCAACAGCACCCAGGTTGCATTAAACATTTAGAAGGAAATCAATTTTATCAATATGGTGGCAAACCCTACTGCGTACTCCATGGTGCCCCATAAAACTACCCATCGATAAAACAATGAAGAATGGGTAATATTCTGTTTCAGTCTTCTACCGGTAAAACGTTATTGGTGGGGATAATTATGGCAGCTTTTGTAATTTAAGTAGACTTTGGTTTACCAGGCAGATCTATGATTGCAAAGATTACGTTTAAATAATAGATTAGATTACTTTTTTAAACTACCGCTCATTTCCAAATCAGGGGGGCTATAAAATAATCAAAAAATATGTGACGTTAGTAGGGAGTTGAAGGAAGCAACAATCAAGTTACCATTTTTTTCTCTGGGTTTTGTTGTCTTTTAGTTTTAGATCATTGTTTTTCTTTTTGGTTGGAGGATTTCTTGGTAATTCCTGTCCAAATGGATTCTTCGTGTAGTGAGGGAGCTCGCAAACTAGTTGGTTTGTGGTGTTGCTAGGTGACATGAGGTATCTATTCTCGCGTTAGATGACGTCATGTTTGATGCAGTGAGGTCTTTCCAAATTTTCATTGATCGGAACAATGACGTCTTTCTATTCTTCGCGTATTTTATTACATAACCCTAGGAAAGGGTAACCTGTAGTGTTGCTGCTTTCTAAACCAGAGGCTAGATGTGAAACCAATTAGATTTAGAGTTATTTAGTGGTTTTTCACGTTACTTTTTCGTGTCTGGATCATAATTGAATTTATAAGATCTTGATGAAGAACTAATGAGGTGGTATCTAAGTATTTTCCATGAAGTCACGTTCTTTCTCGGTAAGCAAGCAGACTGAGTGACAAATCGTGAGAAATCACCAAAGCGAGGCGAATTAACCTGATCATATATTATGGCTATTTTTAAATATTTAAAGAAATTTATTTTCCAGGTTTTCTTTTTCTCGTCTTTATCTTGACCGTGGAAGTGAATTTTACGCGTGCCTTTGGGTTAGAATTTGGCTTGAGAGAATTTTTTTGCTTGTTGAATCAAGTAATTTGTAAATATGAAAGACAAGAACTGAACATCTTTGCTTTCTTCACCGGTCTTCTTGATGTAAACTGAATGGCTATCCATCTTGAAGTTATTTGGTCTGGGATTTTTGGTAATTTTGTTTATATTATTTTAGAGTTCTAAAATTCAAAACGGTAGAGAAACGGTCTTACTATTTGGAATTAATGGAATACGTTTCACTGGTCTGAACTTGAGAGGAATCCTGCAAGGATTTGTCTTCATTTCTCAATTAGATGAAAACACGGCGACAAAGGAAATTGTCTCGGAGTTACTCCCCCTTCCCTTCCCACCTTAAAAAAATGATTTTGAGAAAGGAAAAAAAAAAAACGAAAAGAAAAGGATGAGAAAAGAAATCATGCCAGCTTCGTCTTGGACAAATTTTATAAATAGTAGAATTGTGAAACTGAGAGATTTTGTAGCTTTTATGTTGTGTTACCTGTGAAACAAGTTGGTCTTTGGGAAAGAACCATCTCAAACGGAATATTGATTCACTCTGATTCGTAATTTATTTTTTCGTTGGAAAGCATGCCAAAAAAAATAAATGGTGTTGGGATGTTGCCTCAGTAGTATCATTTAAGTAAAAGATATAGCTTTGATAATAAACCAGTTGACCGTATGTTTAAGACTTTTTTTATAATTTTTTTTGTTGCTATATTTTGCAATTTTTCGTTTGCTTCTAGAGCGAGGTCCGCTATTTGTAAGTTTAGTTAATTCAGCTTTCCGTTGAACTTGCCAAGGTAATAATTATTAGGAACAGTGCCTGCGAAAGGTAACATGCTATTAGGCCGTTGAAATATGAATTGTGCAAACAGGAACGATGAAATTGTAAAGAAATGGTAGTGAGGCTGTCCTCTTATTAAAGAAAAAATTACGAATTTTCTGGTTCTAGCGTTACCATGAATGCCTGTTACGCATGCGTTTGTGGCCTCACCATACGATAGAACTGTCATAATACGATCACCACCACTTGCTCTAGAATGAACTGTTTTATTATAATTAATGGACTCTTACCGTAGGTTGTGTGTCGTTAGTAGTATTATAAGTGTAACAAAGTGACAGTTAGAACTCCGCGGTGCAGATTGCTTGAAAATGCATTCATTCCGTAAAAAAAGATGTGGTTGCATGGGACTAAGTAATTGGATTATTAACGATTGAGGAGTGCTGGGAGAGAAAGCCATTCCGCACGCGGTTCATTTGTGACACATAAAAGTAGTTATTAAAACGACATGTTCGTATTAGTGGGGTGGTGCGATCGTACAGCGTGTTCCCTAAGTTACCATTTCATCGTCCTTTTTATGTGGGTGTTGCCGTTGTGAACGCGCTACGGTACGCGTACATCATGCCTTTTTTTTTATATGCAATGATATTTTTAGTTGTGGTCTAAAATATTAAAATGTACTTTGTAATGCGAGCTTGTCAACATTTGCAGAAAGTGATTTTTCACCTTGTAAACAGAGATCTAATTTTCAATGTATCTGTTATTTCCAGAATAAATTTATACTTTAAAGAATTTTTGTTGTTCTCGAACCGTTTTTCCTTGTGTTTGGTAAACCTCAGCCGTGATTGCAAACCATGTTTAGGGGGAAAGTACAATTTGAACGAGGAAGATTTGCCCGATCTCAAGGTCCATTCCTTCTGCTAATTCTTTTCAATCTCACAATCTTTTGTCACCGGTGGTGTTTTAAATTTTCGAAAAGTAACGTGAACTCTCAAAAGTTGACCTGAAATATGCCAAAAATTGTAGTTGAGACGCCGCCACTTGGAATTTTACCCAGCACTCTGACTGTGTCGAAATTGAGTTTCATACTTGTTTTCACTATTTCTTGGAGATCTGTTTGAAGAATGAGGTGCTGGAAAGAAAAGGGCCTTCATGACCAGAGTAGAAGCCGCCACTTGGAATTTTACCTAGCACTCTGACTGTGTCGAAATTGAGTTTCATACTTGTTTTCACTATTTCTAGGAGATTTGTTTGAAGAAGGAGGCGCTGGAAAGAAAAGGGCCTTCATGACCAGAATAGCGGTTTTTTTCCCAAATAACCACGACAGCGACTGTTTTCAAACCGCTCTTTGAGGTTCTGCGTTTGCGGCCAGGTTACTAAGTTGTCTTCAGAATTGCGGACTTAAGAGCAGTTCTTTCCACTGGAATCTCAAAACGTGGTAAGAGGTTTGAAATTTTCATAAATACTTTTTGAATAGTTGCTGGTTCTGGAGCATACCTCTCCTTCAAGACCTATAAGTATTAACACCCTTGCCCGTTAGATAAAAAAAAAAGAAGATTTTGATACAGTACTTTCTCATTTAGAGAAGCTCAATGTTCATATTTGTTCCCTGCAATTTTGCTTTTAATCAAATTCAAGGCTTTCATTCGACACGTGACCTGAAAGAAGCTTCCTTTTTCTGCCACGGCTCTGGTAATATTTGTCACGTTGTTCAACCATGTTTTTAGTGACGTCACTTTTGTGTGGTATCTGATACGTCATAAAAAAACCACGGCAAACATCTATCAAACGAAAAAACTGACTGGCTTTGACGCCAAAATTATTTTATAACACGGGAATATCGACATCCTCGACCTCGCATAGATAAATGTCTCATTGTTATCATTACTATTATTATTATTATTTTTATTTTGAATATTATTATCTTTAATCTGAGACGGTTGCATGATTTTTACACGCAGCAAAAGATTAAAGCGTTAATCTTTTTACGTCCAAGCATCCGAAGCGAAGCGCACAGATTTATTTGCGGTGGTTGATTCATCTAACTGAGCTGACTGTGGCCTTGTATCTTTCGCCATATTGTCGGCCTGTTCGCTGTAGTCCCTTGCATCTCCAGTCACAGTGACCTTCCTCCTGCGCGCATGCGCCGTGCGCGGATTCATTAAGGGTCTCAAGGGATCAACCTCTGTACTATGTTTCTTGTACATTTGTTGATTCTGTGAACTGTTTTCGCTTTCGTCTCCTTGTGTATTGAAATCTTTTTGGGTTTCGTTGCTATCTTTCCGTCTTTGCTGCGCACTTGTAGTTTCTGCCTTTTCTTGAACAAGTACTTTATCAGAGTGTCTCACAATTGACAATCCACTCGTTTTGGGCCGCAAAGAAGGCTTATTAACCGAGCCAGACATCTCGGGCACAGGGTCCGACTGTGCCCGTCGCCGGCCAGTTGTACCTATCATTCTGTTCACATTGATCGTTTTACGAGCAAGATTTTTAAACGATTTTCCTCCTTGCCCTGTGGGCTTCACCTTATCTTCTTCATCGTCTTTCAATTCGGCTGCTGCTACATCAGTTTCTTCATTTACCTCAACTTTAGCCTCATTTGCCTCGTCTAAAGAAATAGGTTTGTGCATGTTGTGAATAGCTTCAGACGAAAGCTGTCCCTTCTGCTTCAACCCTTTGAGCAAAGCAGTCGCAATGACAGAATGGCCAATTTGCCGAAATTTTCCTTTGATTCGGAGGGTCTCTTCCATGGTTAGCGAAGCGCATTCGTCGGGGTCAACCGGTTTTCGGGAACGCGGTGTTTTGGCCAGATGTGAAGGTAGATCACAGGGTACAGAGCGCGCGCGTATGGTATCGGCTCTACTTGGGGCTATTGGGGTCAACAAAGCTGGCGAACGAGGTCGATTGCGATTATCGGCCGATTCGTTGTTTTTTTCTCCACTCAAAGGCCTGTCAATTAATGGCGATTTTCTTTTAATCGAAGGGCTGCAATCGGCTGGAGGGTTCGGTGTTTTGATGACTGGCAAAAATGATCCACTTTTGCCACAATCCTCGGATACTTCGTTCTTTTTAGAGCCAAACGTCGGCGCCGAAATCTTTCGCTGTGGCAAAGCTGATATTCCCTGCGGAGTATTTTGGTGTGTTCTCACTTGCATACTTATTTTGCGTTGTCGCGGATTTGGTGAAGGGGCAGCCTCTTGAAGCGAGGGCCTTCCAGGAAACGTTTGAAGTTTCGAGGCGCAAGCACCAGCCATGTCCTTTTCATTCGTGCATTTTTCCTGAGCACTTGATGTAGACACACTTGTTTTTCGCGTAGCAACAGATGTTTTTCTCAAACTTCTCTCAGTTCCTGAACTTTCCTCCAAGTTGTCCTCAATGGCGGCCGCTTGAACCCTTCGCCTTAACGGTGCCCTTATTTGCAAGAGAGTTTCTTTGACTTTAGAAATCTCTCGAAGTTCTCTCTCAAGTATTTTCTCTTCTCTTTGGTACATTGATATTTGTTTCTTCATGGCTATTTCGTGCATTACGTTTCGATGTTGAGCGACGCCATCGCGGTCCAATCTGTCCAACGACTTTCCCTTCTGCCCGGTGTTCATTGCGCAAATGAAACGAAGCTCTCCTTCTGCACTACTTGCGACTGATATATAGATTTGTTTAAGTACTCACAAACACTTCTTAAAAGTCGATGCTGTAACCACAAAATATCGGTCACAACAACTCTTATAACGAATGTTAATAGGTTTGGCAACCATTGAAGTGAACCCCATGGGAAAAAGGCTTACTGCAAAGTTTACAAAACTAATTAACGAGTTGATCTCGCGCTGTATTTTAATGAACAGCACGGAAAAAAATTATTAATTTTGCGGCAAAAAATTTGATGTTAAGTTAAGGCTTATATTGCCAATTTAGTTTTCTGAAAACTTTGGAACTTTGCTAAGTCTGCGTTTTGTTGCCTTTCCGTCAAAAGTTGTTACAACACCTTTCGTAGTATTTTTAAAATTCTTGGTTTATCTGACAACTTGTAGATAAGTGTACGTTGTTTAAACTTCCAACTTCAATTAGAGTGATTTATAATCACTGAATTCCATCACCTATTTACAAAAGCGTATACATGGATTAGTGTCTGTTTTTGTTTGATTTACGGAAAACCTTTGCACTCGACATTCTGCATCCCGCAAGTGTAAAAATATTTTCTATGTGGTCAGTCACCCTACGGAATAAATTCATTAACCGATTAAAGAGAATCCACTTTCATGTTTTAGGATGTCAAGAAAAATAATCTCACGGTGTAACCCGAAAATCACGTTATTGCTATTTTTAAGGTTCTACAGAGCTGCGATTTTTTTTTTATTTAAAAGCGTTCTACTAGGTGTTTTCATCTCCTACTCAAAAATCCTTTTTAAATTTCAAGCTCCGTCAATCAACAGAAAATTGAATGCAAACGTTTATCGGCAGACTTTAACAAGCTTTCATCATTTCAAGCTCGTCGATCGTTCGACATTCTAATATCATGCTTCAATGGTTTTCTAATTTGCAATTTTTATTCCTAATTACTTCATATTATCGCTTTATTTCAACCTGTCAGTCATAAAGCATTTAATCTAGATTTTTTCCGACTGAATTTAGAAGGTGCATCAGAGAAAGAAAACATTGGCTGTGTCAACAATAGACCTCTATTCTTTCAATAGGTATAGATTGCCTAAGAAGCCGTATCAACGACAAGGAAGTTTAGGGCAGTGAAAACAATCTCTGCCTTTAGCTTATTCCCGATGTAGGTGCTTATAGTGATCAGTTATTTCCATGCAATTCGTTTCTTTAGGATTAGAAGTCGATAAAAGTTGTGTTAATTGTGTTGCATGGCTGAAGGGTAATGCAAATGTTGGCTTTGCGTGTTAAGGAAACTGGTAAGAAAAAAAGTTTGGTATCTCCACGAAGCTATGTGATCTTTGTTCCTTCAAGGTAGTTAAAGTTTTCTTTTTTGAAAATTACCGATTCAAGTCATCAAAATTTAAGCTAAACTAGTGAAAATTTCGCATATGGCAAGTGAAAAAAATGAAAATCAGGTTTCGCTGCAATATCAGCGCAAACGAAGCATAGCGGTCAAAAGTTAGGCATGCGCAGGTGGATCAATTCTACCCAGGCGCACTCATCGTGGTCCGTGCGCTCCAATTCCCGCGCAAATAATTACAGTCTCAAATAGCTTTCTCATCTACTTTCTTACAACAAAAATGTTTGGAAAAAGTTAGAGAAATTGCAGAAAATATCTACTTCTAAACGAGTCGCATCGGTGGCCCACCGGATTGCTCGCCGTTCCGGCGGCATAAAGCGATTCGAAACAAACGCAGCGGTCAAACGTTGGGCATGCGCGCAAACAAGGCTGGCCGTGCACAATTTCCCGTGCAAACACCATGGTTACTGGCTTGAGTGGTTATTTATAACACTTGTAAGAAAACTAGGCTCTGACAGCCCGAAAACGCCTTACATACCTCGCTGCAACAAGAGGTCTTTTTAAATGCTTACTAATCAACAATGAACGGACGCTATTTATTCTGTTCCGAGAAATGACTGTGATCGTTAGTATATCGGACAGACCAAACGTCAGTTTGGTACACGTTTGAAAGAGCATCAAAAAGCGGTCTTCTTTTGCAAAAGAGAAAATTCAGCTTTGTCGGAGCACACATGCCTAACTAACCTTACAATTGAGTGGGATAAGTCTAAGATTATCACCACTAATCGACGTTACCACCAGCCAATTTTTGGAAGCCTGGCATATTAACTCCACACATACTCCTTTACATGGTGATGATGGCGGCTTACTACTTGACGCCTATTTACACCTCGTCAGAAAAAAGACCAGCTGATTAGTGACCATTTGAAACCCCCTCTTGTTGCATCGATTGGATCACCCCTAATGAAGGCACTAAACAGGAGAGTGGAAATGTTACATTCATGAAATCTTTTAAACCAGAGGTAGCATCAAACCACGTCACATAACGACTCATTCTGAATAAAACGTTAGTCCATTGCAGGTTACCTTCAAAACTGCCTATCATTTTACTCGGTTCTAAAATTTTCTTGGGTCAAATTGTCATGGTGTTCGAAAATCCAGAGCTGAAAATTCAACAATACTTTTCCTTCGCGTTGTTTTTATTAAAATTACATTTGATTTCTTATGTTTTATAAAGTTAAATTTAACCTCGATTTTGATTATTCAGTTCAAAAATACAATTGAATTCATAATGATAATTGAACTGAGTGGAGCGCAATTTGGGCTGAAATCATTCGTGTGATTTCAGACCAAAATTGCACGGCACAAGGTTCAATTACCACTTTATTACATCCATTTTGAAATCACCCAGGTACAGGGCTTGGTCAGTTCAAATATTTTATTGATGCAGTACTGAGCTAGTTTGAAATTAAATTCATCCATTTTTTGGGGGGAAAAACCAAAAGTTTTGGAAACAAAGGTTGCAAAATTTGCCACATGATACTCGTTGTCTTTCATTTTCCTGCAATTACATTGGTTACTTTAAACAAGCCTTGAAATCTGATTGGTTGTTTTGTTTTTAGTGTAGCCTCCTCATTGGCTGGGAAAATGATGCGATTTATAGCAAAAAAAGGTGCGATTCGTGAATAAATCGCACCAATTAGAGCCAATCAGATTACAGGGACCACCAGTGATTTCAAAATGGGTGTAATAAATGATTAAATAAAATATAAACACTATTTCGGTATTTTGGAACGATGCGTTCTATACAGTTAAAACCATGCAAAGGAACAACATAAACCAATCAGAACGAAGAAAACTATAAAAAGCCAATTACAGTTAAAAGTATTAAAAGATAAACCACTTGAAACAGAAATTAGAATAACTGAGGCACCGTCGGTTTTTTGTGATGGATCTCATTCGATTGAAGAAAAGCGAGGAAGAGAAAAGCAAAGCAATCTTGAGAACTTTTCGAAAAAATAAGATGTCACGTATTGAAGGACCATTATTTAAAGTTAATGTATCTTTGCTCAACTTATGGAATGTTTTTCGAACTTTCAAGCCGTTCTGTCTGCTCTAAACCCTTGGGTGAAATTCAAATTTTCGTCGTAAATTACTTCGGATAGTACCACACGAATAAATCAGTGTAACCTACAAAAGATTTAAGATATTGCTGTGTTTAACTTGTCAACTTATGCCAATATTTTATCATGTTTCGCGGATTCGTCATCATTTCAGTCCAGTGCTCGCACTCAGTCCCCCTCGCGTACATCATTCCCCCAAGAAGGACTCTACCGACTAACTGGTCCTCCTTACCCCCTCCCCTTGAGTGCATAATTGACACCAGTAAAGTACCAGAGCCCAGGTCATCTCCGGACACAGAGAAGTTGAAGGACTCGTTATACAACGGGTCACGTGATCCATGGTGAAGAGGTCCTTTTTTAGTCTTGATTATTTTGTTTCCAATAGAGAAAGTCACTTTAGGGTAGGAATCTGGAAATAAAGGAAATGAAACGTAAGCATCAGTGAAATGATACAGGTATGACATACGACAAAAGGCTGCTGGTTCAAGGATTGAGGATTTAACTACCCTTGGCTCGGTTTGCACGAAAGTGAGTAAGAACATATTTATCGAATTTACTTCAGGATTTGAAGCACGAGAACGGGTCAGGTTTAATATCGGCAACTATTTGCTCCTTTAAACTCACTAATAATGTCAAGGGCTAGTCGAGCTTTATAAACTTCTTCCTACCGATCTGTTTTGAGCAAGAGCGGATAATCCTCTCTTGGTTTCAAGGGAAAGGAATGTCAACAATTTTCACAGAGTACCTATCGTCCAAAACAATAAATCGTCGCAGACAAAAAATGTCACACAACAATTTCGACTCCAAAGGAATGGTTGTGTCCATATCCTCCGAGAAAGAGAAGAGATTAAAAAAATATACTCTGTGTTCTTATAAATGTTAGCAAGAAACCCTTTCAATTATCCTACAATGTTACATTTAGACCTATTTTTAAGTTGGTCAGAAACCTCCTATCAAAATATCTTGGCGAATGATGATAGAAATGTTTTTTTTTTCAGGCTATCAAATGCGAAAACAAGATTGCGAGAAAAATTCGCCCACGCCTATTTCAAATAATTCAAAACAAAGTGATGCGGAGGCCTGCGTTACCAAAGTAAACAATTATTCCCGGTCACCTGTGCCATGGGGCTCCATTTTCTTGAGGTTGGACGCTCTAAGGACGATAATCGTCAGCCTGTCTAGAGTGGGGTAGTAAGACATTGAGATATGAATTTCGCCGAGTTCGGACGGGCTCTGAAATGTGAAACAAACAAAATAAACAAGTGTGTTCTAATAAAAAAACTCAACATGTGAAGACAGGAGAAAATAATGAGTTCGTAACATGTGTGAATGAAGACAATGTTAAGAAAGTTCTGTGTTTGAACTTAATCGTGAAAGGATTTTGATGGAGTTGCTAGTGGCATATTTTTTCTGTAATTTTCTGTAACCTTCGTAGCCAGCGGTTTTGTGAGCGTTTGGAAGCGTTCAGCGGCGGAGCTGCGAAAGGGTTGGGACGGAATAAGTGGTAGCCTCTCGTGGTTTTTTTCAATCATCAGTTCAAAGCGCTCACAACCGCCAGATGAGCTCAGAGGCCGATGAGTGAATCCCCTGATTGAGGTCGTGATAGCAAGCAGTCATCTTCATTTAGTGTCTTTTCCTTCCATCAACAATTTCCTCTCATTTATTGGTATCGGAATACATTCTATATTGTTTATTCGACCTCGGGTACTTATTTGTAAAAACGTATCGAAAAATGTCAGCATTTTTTACGTGTATCGTTTCAATTCTTGGCTACAGATAAGTAACAATTGACGGTTTGTGTTTGCGTCCACGTTTTTTTTTCGCGTGACTAATGTTCTTAGAATATGCGGAGAATTTCGAGCCTAAGGAATTATTGAGATTCGAAAGCAGTTGTCAAATACTGATAGCTTTAAATGCACTGAATTGGATTCCCCGCTGTCAATCAAAATTTTGATTGAATTTCTTTTTTCGTATTTCATTTTGGAGATGAAATCAGAAAGCCCGGCGATAAATAAAGAGAGCTAAGCTGTCTTCAAACGTTGCTCAATAATGCTTTTAATCATGTCAAAAAGTTTTCAAACATAGAATCATTGACGTTTGTGAGTGGTTTAAAATTGGGAAAGAGATCGTGCCAGAAACACGCCTCTAGAAATTTGTGATTGATTTGAAAGGAGTGATCTAGGATATTAGAAACTGTGTTTGTTTATGCACTTATGACCACTTGTAGGAATGATAATTAGCAAATAGCAAACGCGTATATTGACTGACGCGCTTGTTAAATTCTACGTATCATGACTGACTGCCAACAGGAGAATTAACTCACCTCTTCATTAGCGGCAAGATCCCTCCATAACTCAAGTTTCTGATCTGTGTCCAATTCACTCAAAGGAAACAAGACTTCTCCGATCACACTCTGCTGGCTTGCTCTAAAGCCATCATATACAGATAAACGAAGTGTGCACCTCTTGAGCTCTGAAACAGGCATGTTAAAATAAAACATTTCGTCAAAGTTTGGCCGACATGTTTTTCTTTTATTCTTGCTCTGGGACACGTTCCTCTCCTTTTCCTCTGGACCAAGAATGCGCAGTTTTACGAACGGATCGCACGTTTTGGAAGCTTTGCCGCGCGTAGAAAGATTTCGTGCTTTGACCAATGTCACAGCTAAACTTTCGGCTGATTTATCGTATTCTAAATTGAACCAAATTCGTCCAAGATGGTCGACGGGGTACACCTCGTCTTCTTCTTTTTCTTCCTCTTCCAACGCACTTGCCGGGCTCGCCTCACGACTGGAAATTGAACGAGATGCTTTCCCTTCAAGCCGTTCCTGTGCGTCAAAAAACATTTCCTCGCTCGACATCGGTGAAAGAGACTCTTCAGAGGAAATAATTTTTTCTTTCGTTCGACACAACTTTTTCTTCGCTGGAAAAGGTTGTTGAGTCGTTTTAACGGAAAATTGCGGCGGTTGAACAGCAGTCTCGGCTATCTGGGAATACTGTTTATATTTTTCTGCTTGGCGCTGTCTTCTCACAAGATACAACGTCACCAGGACTGTAACGATGATTGAGCTAACAATGACTGTTATTGCCACAGGTAATACTGGGACTGGACACAAAAAATATATATGTCTGAGATCAATAAAACAAGAGATAAACTTTTCATGTTATGACTGCAGATACCGGAAGTTCAAAGCTCAAGCACGGTCTTATCTGACCTCCACTCCCGCGACATGTAGTTCTTTTCATTTGACAGCTAATGTTTCCAATTCCCTCCAAAAATTTTATTGAGTCCGGGTCACGAACAAAGTCTTAAGAGCGAGAAGAGTTTATGTGTCTAAAAATCGTCAAACGTGTTGTGAAAACAAAAAAAAACATAACAAAAAACGTGAGAGAACAAGAGGCAAACGTGACAGCGGTATAAGATTAAGGGAAAGTTAGACTAAGAAATCTCATGGATTAACACTTAAGTTTGAAGAATTTAAGGGGATCTTTGTACAATCCATTATTTCGGTATTCGCTGCCGGAATACTTTCTTTTTATGAAACGAGTCGCGTGTATCCAAGATATGTTTCAATTAAAAGGGTGTTGATTGAGAGCAATTAATTTCTCTGCCTTTATTCTTAGTATCATAGGTAGACCTTGTTTCTAGAAAATACGAGGTTGGATTATATGTCGAAATACTCCGCTAATTCTGCAAGTGACACTAAGCGAGCAGTTGAGACCTTTCTATTTCCGGCGGGAAAACTAAATTCCTCAGAAATGTCCACGATTACATTCCGTAGAGGAAATTGAAAGTTATACTTGAAAGAAAATTACGGTGAAAAACGTGTGGATCTTGTCCTTTAAAATTAAATCCTGGATGTAAGAGAAATTTCGATCATTTTGAACAATGAAGAGTGTCGGCCCTAATTCGGATAGATTTAACTTAAATTGGATCGGAAAGAGACCCCGTCAATCGAGAGGTGTCATCCGAGATTGTTTCGTACGTGGGGTATTCTGCTTGAGGTGCGGTTTAATACGTCATTCATGGTGCGTTTTCAAAATTAAAGTTTGGCTGGAATTTTCTATGCTTTTCCTTTCAGACTCAATTTTTGGTGTGTGTCTGCTCTGCCAAACTATAGCTTCATTTCCTCCTTCGCATTAAGGACAATTTTCAACAAATCAAGGTAAATGTCAGTTGATCGTGACGCCGCCTGTGGTAGTCACGTCTTGCAGCCTGGGGTGATCTAGAAACACACGCAACAAACTCAAATCACATCCTTCCCTTTACTTGGTTTAATCACCTTCAAGGTCATGTACTCACTGGCCCTTTGGCCATCATCTCCGGATTCTGGTGTAATACTTTACGTTCATCTATGTTCTTTAGCCATCGCTTGATTAGGAATACAATACAAGTAGCGTTTGTTTACTACGCTAATCGTCCTTGTTTGTGACTTCTATTCATAAAATGCTTCAAACGTTGTACACTGGACTAGAAAACTTGCGTTACGTTTAAACTCTAGTGTGTTCAAACTACAGGAAACAGTGCAGTGTTTTCCTTATCGGTGAGGAAAATGAAAGTGCTAAGATTCCATGGGTGCAAGCAAACAAACAAAAAGAAACAGGGCTTTCTTGTTCCCGGTTTAACCCTTTCATTTTTAACAGTGATCTTTTGATGATTCACCCAACAATCTTAATACAATGTCCAGCAGACAGATAGGAAGAACTAAGAATTTTATCCCATGGGTTGTAGTGCTAAAATAAAACTTCATATTTTCGTAAACAGGTTTCTGTCTTCTTCTCTATGTGATTGGTCAAGAAAACTCGCACCACTTTCTTAACCAATCAGATTCAAAACTGAAAACAATCGCGTCGTAGTCACTCTTATTTTCCCGCGCTTGAAACAGTTTGCTTGTTTTCAGTTAGAATCCCAATGGGCTGCTCTTTATATTATCCATTCATTTGATTGGCCGTTGAATTTGGTGTTAAGATGTTTAACTCTAGGCGCGGCGCGCAAGACTCGGTGATTTCCAGCTTCTTCATTCGTTACCACTCATTCAAGCTACATTCGTTGAAAGTCTGCAAAGACGGACATGTCAGATTTTGAATAAGGTGACTCGACAAGGACTCAGAAACTTCTCAAAGACGAAATTTACGTCTTGATATGGTTATTTGTTGAGGAAATAGCTGAAGAGTCTAAATGAAACTCTCGTCAAGCAAGTTTCACAGACAAATGTCGCTGCTAGTCTCCCTCAGCTGAATAAAGAGTGAACATATTTTACCTTGAACTGATGAAATTGCTACGGAAAACGTACTTGTGTCATTTGCAAGACACTGCATCAACATGCGCTATCTTAATTTCACGTTATTGTAAACAATCGTTGTCTCTGTACAACCAGAATTAAAAACATTAATTGTCATTTTGAATTTTGTTTTAAAAATAAACGAGAACTTATGGCTTTAAAACTAGACAGCCTAGCTTAAACAAATCAGTTTATTCGTAATCTTAAATAGTCTAAATTCTGTTGACAATAGCGCAGATTCGATCAATCTTACTTTCAAATTTGAGTTCCTTAACCACAATAATAATGATTGTAATTATAGAGAGTCATGTTTGTGCGGTATTAACAAAATCTAACGACTTCAGAAACCCTTAGGAAGCGATTGCCTCAGAAAGCGAATTTTAACACTCATGCTTTAATCTTGAATAACTGTAGATCTTCATTTATTTTCTTCGGAACAAAGGAAATCGTTTAAGGAGTTGAATTTTATTTTGGTAAATAAAGCAAATAGAACGCTACGAAACCAAAGCAATTTTTCTAGTGCGACTCGTGTAACGATCATTGAACTTTCGATCTGTTCAGCTGATTCACTTAGTTTTAACTAAATATATTTTTCATGATTTTTTTCAGTTAAAAACTAAAAATTATCTAATCATTTGCTGAAATAGATGGGTTACATCAATAAAATAACCATGCTTTGGCTGTAGTTGCTGTGTGGAGGCAACATCGCCGATAGATTTAATTGAAGTTATAAAACGAATTGTGGAAGGCATTTTAAGTTGAGTCTTGTTGCTCAATCAATCATAAATTTGTCGCAGTAGAGTCTGGCAAGTCATGGTCTACTCTCTAGTGTTAATAACAACATGAGGTTTGTGCTATAGAAATAAATATCTATTTCCAATCGATCTCGAGGGTTAAAATTTACGAAGGTGATTCCCGTTGTAAACCACCTCAAGGTCACTTTAGGAAATTTATAATAAAACTTACAGTCAGCGATAATACATAAATACTTACAATTTGAGTCCGTCGAATGGCGCTTTTCCGAAGCCGTACTCGTATCGAGCAATGTAATATTATCCGATAATTGATTTCCTCCCGTTTCAAATCCCCTTACCATTTTAGTAGGAGATGAAGCTTAGGGGAAAAAAAACCCTGGGACGCCTTCGACCAGCATTCGCGTCCTGACACGCTCACAAAACAATTTAACCAATTTACAGTCTATGGGAAACCTTTCACTGAAACAGTTGTTAGACCTCTAATTATATTCACATCATGTATTTGCAATTTAAATTTTCTTTCTCCACGTTGCAGCTGCTTCATGGTTAAAACTTCCTCCAGTTGATCTGAAATTGTCTGTTTTATTCAGTCGGTGTCTTTAATGGCTTTGTGCTGGTACATGATAAATTATTCTTATTATACACATTTTTCATAAATGGCCCTTATCATCCGCCTTACAGATATGCTAACAGATTTCGTTTTGCCGTTTTATTCATGTAAAATTTTCACCCGCGCTCGTCATCATGATGAAACAATCATTTTGCATCATGCCGCGAATACATCTATATATATTTGAAATTTAATACAAGGAATAAAAGTCATTACAATTAATCTGCTCGGTTGAAGGAAAACATTCACAAGTATTCTAACTTAACCTTTGAAAATCATTATTTCATTGTGAAACACTCCAGCAATCTCATTTTTAGATGAAGCAAATATTTATTTGAAGCAGGATAAATTGAAGTGTCGCTTTAAATGCATTACAAAAATTGGTTAAAATACTCTTTACTGTTTTTGGCGAGACCAAATGATGTAAAACTTGAAAAATCAGAAAAATATAAACAACAATGGTGGCATAATTAATAAGGATTTTGAATTGCCCAATTTTGTCAACAAGAATGGTTCCGTAAATGAATAAAAATGAGGTTTACCAATTTGAGTGTCTCCTCAGACAAGCTTTGATTGACAATGAGTCTGTGAGTTTGAACAAATCAAAAGAATTTTCAGAATAGCAGAAACTTACTTCGGATGAATCGAAAAACAATTTCAATAACACGGTTTCGCGTAACTCTGTTATATTTTTGCCTAAATATCTTCTAAATTGATAATAAAAATGAATTTTGAACGGTAACTCCGAGGTGGCGGCCGTATGAATGACAAATGCCAAGTTTTATCGGCTGATTTGGTTGGGAGGCCCGCGGAAAATTTGTCTGGTCGGGTAAGCGGTAACTTTCGTCCATCTGTTCATAGGGAAAACTTAAGGTTACTTCCCACCTTCGTGGGTGTCCTTCGGGGAAAAAAATTCATAGGCGCGCTTGTTTCACTAAAATCCTAACAAACTATACGTTAGAAGAAAGCTTACTAAGTGCAGTTTACGATGAAAATAGAATTTAAGCGACTTTTCCTTTAAGGAAGTGTCAAGAGCCGGTAAGGCGTGAAACGACCGAGGGTTCTTCTATTGAATTTATTGGGTATCTGAAACCGCAGCACGAGCAAAATGATTCACAAGGCATTAGTAAACAAAGGTGTGTCAGGCTTTTTCGATATTCTGATTGGTTGTCTAGATATCGGCGTATAAAGTTGGAGTGGCTAAAAATATGCGAAGCGTGTTGTGTAAATGGACGCCACGGGACAAATATTTCAAATATCGAAATTTCCCGACATCCTTTCGTTTGTCATTAACCCTTGAATGTTTTGGCGAAATTTAACGAAAATTGGTCAAATCTATACACTCTCTATGAAATCGCTCAAAGTGGTTGTATCCCCCCCTAACTCGCGCCACGCCAGGAGATTATTTCATCCCCGGAAACCGCAAGCCAATGGGACAAGGGGACCTCCTGGCGTCAATAACGATGGATCAAGATTTCCCGCGAAAAGTAAGCAATTTGAGACACTTTTTTTCTTTAATCTTGATCACTCAGTGGAGCGTTGAGAAAGACGACACAATAATGGACAAAGTTGCCTAAGGCAAAGGAAAAACCCGTGTCAAGGCTGGCACTTGCATAAATAAAAGGAGAACCTCGTTTTTAACATTAAATGCGGCAAAGTTTGGTTCGACGGCGACTTCTTTGTTTGAAATCTGGATGCCAGCGTGGAGCTCCGCCGATACCGCTCGCTTTCACAAAGGACTTTTTTTTCTTTTCTTGACAGAATGGTACTCCTCCTTTCTACTTTGGACCTTTTTTTGATTCTCTTTTTTTTTTTTACTAAGGGCTCTCTTCCGCTTTTGATTTTCCATGAGCAAAGAGCTTCTACCTGTGAATTTTGTCAAGTGCGCGATTAAGAAATGACATGAAAAACGAGCCCCAAGATGAGCGGTTGCCGCGAAAATTCCCCAAGGGCATTTGCCTGGGTCCGAGATTATGACAGCTTCTTGATTTCTTAACTTTTATTCGAAAATACGTTTTTCTAAATAACTCAGGCGCTTTTAAAGATTTCGGAATTTTTTTTTTTGCGAACGTTAGGTTAACTGTTTGAGTTAAATTTAGTCAAATAAAAGGAAAATCGATTTTTTTTCGGCCTCTGAGGATGGGTACTGGTTAGACTGGTTAGTTAGGTGAGATTTCAGCTCGATCGCATTTCACAGGGATTCATGAGACAAAGCTCAGTTTGATTACCCTGATAATCAAGTCGAGATCTTTTGTCCCGTAAGTAGACTGGTGGGTTCATGTGGGAATTTTTCAGTTCGGCAATTGAGATTTCTCGGGGCCGGCCCACCTTATCATAGGGTCAAATTAATTAAATTATTGAACGGCAGAAAGATTTTAGGTGAGCCATCGTAAGCGGAGTCAGCCCAGTGAAGAAGACTTTAAGACCGCTGAAAGTTTTAACCTTTAAAGAAATTTTTTATTTCATTTTTCAATTTCATTCAACCCTCAACGATTCAGTTGGCAGAACAAGGGATATTGCGTGGCATATTGTTATCTAATATTGCTCAGAGGATCGTTCGATAAGGGCAAGGATTTAAATAGATGTTTCAACGACTGAAAATTGTTTTCGACCTTTTTGAAATAGGTTCTAGATAAGATATCGAATTCCACTGTGCATAAAATACATTATGGCCGATGCAATGTAATAAGTCTAAAAAAGTGGAAGCGTAAAGAAAACAGACTTTGGTTAGCTGGAGGAAGAGAACGCATAGGTCGCATTTCGCGTTTGGACGCGTAGAAAACGCGTTCTTTTGGCGTTCTAAATGAAAACTGTGTAATCAATACGTGACATATGGAGGAAAGCCCTTCGCATACTACGGAAACAAATATCTATGCTAAATAGATAAAAAAGAAGTTTGATTTTAATCTATTCCATCCTTGAATTATTACATAATTAAAAATATCTCTAAACTGCATACGGATGAAAATAACGAATGAAGCTCCATTGCTTACTTTTCAAGATTAAATAGTTTCTCGGTTACTCATATCACCTTCCGCTGGACTGCAAACTTTCGCATTTTGGCAGATTAGCTTTGTATGTCAAGCTAAGCTTAGATTTTAAAGATTCCCGTCGTTATTTTAATGAAACTCCGAAGAGTCTAATTTGCAATTTCAAGCTTATATCCAAATTTAGCTCCATATTTTAAACTTCTTCTGGCGCAGATTTTCAATCTCAGCAGGTTACCTTTGGATGTCAAGCTAAGAGCTTAGATTTTAAAGGTTTCGCGTCAAGTGCTTTTAAGATTTTCATTTTCCAGCTTTTTTGTAAATATGCTTTTACCGTTTAAATCCTTTTAGGGGGCGTCAGATGTACAGCATGTAGCTTCAAATTTGTTAAGTTGTGCAGATTTTCTTACACTCAAAGAAACTCAAACTTACCGTAAAACAAAAATGATAAAGTCGGAAAACAGAAACAACAGCTTTAAGATAACAATAAACGTTGTTAAGAATTAATTATATTATTTTTTGAGTTACCTCCACTTGGAACCCTTGCTCGCTTTCATCAGTTGTTCACCGTTTCGTCGTGCGTTGTATGACACTAAAAAATCAATGAAATTAATAACATCCAAAAGATTTTGCTATGAAGAAAGATGATCTTCTTTGAACAGTTTCGAACCTGCTTATTTATCTTTTTGAAACGTCTTTCCTTTCAACGTGTTAAAATATATCAACAGTTCAAAAAGCTGCAGTTTTTTCTGTTCCCTCTGAATCCCGTAGCAACCAATTTAACACCTATCAGAGGTTCATTGATACACGACTTTTTTCTTTGTATGGTGATAACTTATCAGAAAACAGAGTTTTCTTTCTGAAAACGAAACATGAGTGTTCCGTCCACGTCAGAAAACTGAGAAAGTGTCATTAGTTCATACAAAAACGGTCACCGACCGGAAAAAAAACGTGCAATTAAGATTAGGAAGGTTTAATAAAAAAATCGTTAACAGCAACAACGATAAGAACAACAATATCAAAATACCTGAGAGCACTGATGTCACCGTTTTAAAAAAAAACTGCCATCGCTTCCAACCTTTACGAGAAAATATGCATTTATTTGCGTGAAAAAGCGAACAACTGCGTGAAGATACATTCACGACATAAAAACATCCTTTGTGCGTAATTCAGATTCAATAACAATTTTTTCATTTTAATGAACATTCAATATCGATTTTGAGCATTCTTATGCGTCATTCACCACACAAAAGAGAACAGAACACTTTCATTTGCGCTAGCCTTCAAGTCATTAGCACCACCTTGAATGTCAATAGAGACAACACACAAAAATCATGCTGCATCATAAGAGGATTCGAGGAGGAAGGGAAGACGAGGAGGAAGACTATCTTATGGTCGCACACACGTACGGGGTGAACCGATTTACGGCAAAAGGCATTGTGGCGCGCTGTATTAGAGAGGGCAGGACCCAGGAAAGACCACGAGGTGGTGGAAACAACGTGCGCGTGGATGATGAGATGAGAGATTGCCTAGATGAAATCAGTCAAAGCTGCCTACTCACACTTTCTCGAGTAACAGTGAACGGAGGAGACGGCTACCACTCAAACTCGAGATCCATACCGCACTGTCGCAAGGACATTGTATGCTGATTAGAGTGAAACTGGCAAGGTCCTCCCTGCTGATAGAACCAGACTTGATGTGCTGAACAAGCGAGCCGATTACACAACCTGGTTTATGGACCATGCCGTAGGGCATCTCTGTGTTCGTCCTGACGAATGCGGCTACAACGTTTGGACGACCAGAGGTCACGGTAGACTGCGGTAGAGAGAGAGGGCGTACCGTCAAGTGTACGGCCAGCGATGATGACACTTGCCTGTGACCATGGCAATATCGCTCATTAATTGACTCGCATGTGTCTTCCTCAGAAGCTGTTGGCGGAATGAATGCTGCGCCTTTCGATAACTTCCTCGCACAGGCGAGGAAAAATCTGGATCCCGATGAGGGGTGATCTTCGTGTATGACGGAGCGCCGGCCCACCGAAACCCAAGCTTAAAATGCTCTCCCCCAACAGTCCTTTCCTCAGCATCGACAGCTGTTTGAAAGCGGCGATCAAGGCCGACATGTCGCGTTCAGAAATTGAAAGACGCATGGATAACAGAAATGAGGTCAGAGCCAGTGGAATCCCACTGGGGGAGTTTTAAAGACAAAAAAGACTCGAAGCTCTACACAGAAGCACCGACAGAAACATCGACTGCAGCAAAAAGTGCACAATGGTATCATGTTTTGCAGACCTATCTGTCCAGACATTTGAATAGAGATAATTGAAGAGTAAACTAAAATTCAGACCAAAATAATTTTGGGAAAGCTATAATTCAATTAGAATTCGATATTTGAACACTGAATGTGAAAACCGCTCAATAGTTTGTGCTCACGTTTTGTAATCATAAAAACGCTGTTGAATTGCGAACAGTGCGATGAAAATGGTAATAAATGGTTTCTGCGTTACAGTGTTTCTGTATTGTTTCTATTGACTTTCATGATGATGTTAATGACCTGCAGGCTAGCGCAAATGAAAGTAAAATTTTTTCTTTTGTTTGACGAATGACTCATAATAATGCCCAAAAATGTAATTGAATGCTTATTAAGATGCAAAGGTCGGTATTGAATCTGATTTAGGCGCAAATGGTCGTTTTATATCGCTAATGAATGTAACTTACGCAATTAATCGCCTTGTAAGAAATGTGAATGCGTATTTTCTCGTGATTAGCAGCAAAAGGTGTTTATTTCACCCTACATTAATACTGCTGAATAATATATCAAGATCGTAAGAGAAATGATCACTAATCTAAGAAGCTTCGATGGTTAAAGAAGCTCTCTTTGTCAAAGGAAATATATAGAGAAGCGAATTGAGAGTCCGGATTCTGATGTTAGAGTTTAAAGGACTAACAAAACTTTGGACTAGTTTAGATAGTATGCCATTTTGAAAGGAAATTTTGCGTTTTCAAATTTCTCCAGTGCACTGAGTACGGTGAGAGCTTAAGCTATAACTGAGGGGACTATAGAGTTTGATATAAAATGATAGGTGAACGATCACCTTGTCTTTCAGTCAACACACCTTGTTCAGTAGTTTTATTTTCTTAAACAAACACCTGCTTCTGATATTATAGTCGCTATATTTTCTTCGCCGTTGTTCATTCATCATGTCTGTAGATACAGTGTGTTTGGTGAGAGCTAGTCATTATTTATCGCCTGAGGGAGGAGGTCCTACGTCCTTTCTTTATTTTCTGTCGACGGACTGACCGTGCCCCATGAAAACCATGTGATCCCCCCACAATCCTCCGCTGCCCTCGAACCAGTCCTTTAAATAATTACCTTATTAAAGCTTCTTCGCGTGAGGGTTTATAATGAGTAAAAAGAAGGAGAAAGATGGAAACAAAAAAGAGAAATAACCTCTTAAACAAAAGGTCCTAGAGTTCCAGGCTCCAGATGGGCTCGGCTCACGCCCTCTTCGTTTTAATAGGGAGACTGAGAATTACTAGTCAGCGGAAACTCGCGTGACCAAAATTATGTGGCGTTTTCTCGAATCTTTCGTGGGCAGAAATAGGTTTGAACCAGCGTGACTCGACAAAATAAAAGGGAAGGGTATAAAAGACCAGGCGAGAATGATGAGTAAGGACATTTGGAATAAAGCTTTATCATGGCGGAGGAAGCCGATCTTCTTTCCATTGGAAAACATTGTAGTTTAGCGTCGTGCAAACGACTTGATTTCTTGCCATTTCAGTGTTCTCACTGCAAAGAAATTTTCTGGTACGTTTACTTCTTACCGTGTTATTTTTCCCTTTGAAAAGTCGGATTATACTAAAAATTAAAACTGAGATGGAAAATGGGATCAGGGAATCGTAGAAGTTTTTCGACGGTTTTTTTCTCCGTCGAGGTTTTGATACTTTTCTTCGTTTGGATCGACGACTGAAACTTTGAGAAGTTGAAATTAGAATTGAGTCTTGAACGTTCTTGGTTCAATGATTATTTTCGTATCTTTTGCTTGTTTTAGTTTAGAACATCGAAGCCCAGAAGAGCACAAGTGTTCGAATTTTAGCTTATCAGATGTAAGTATCAACTTTTGCCGTCAGTTTGAGAAATTTCAGGAGTAGAATCAAGGATATTAATAACACAATTCTATAAAACCAGTGTTGAGAATTACAATGTTTCTATATGATTTACTCAGCATGATCACAAATAAATATGCAGAGTATTGATGAATTTGCAATTTATGAGCAATTTTCACCAGCAGTTGTTGACAATTATGTATAGGAATCAATAAACATTATAATTGCGAAAAAAGTATCCTTGAAACGTTCGCAACCGTTTTCTCTCAGATTGCTCGGAAAGAGGATCTTGCCTGATTTGCTTCCACTCTTACTCTTCATATTTAACTCAGAAAAAACAAGATAATTTACTTATAACTGAAAGAAGATTAAAAAATATTGATTTTAGGTGTTAACTGGTTAAAAAAAAGTTGTTACAAACTTTTTTTGTTTCAATTTTGTTTCTTTTTTCCTTAAGGTTCATGTTCCTGTTTGCCCAATCTGTAATCAAATTGTAAAGAAGTCCTTAAATGAAGATGTTAATCAACAGGTCAGTTTGTTACATTTCATGTATATTTCTAGCTTCTCTCTGAGGTTGTATTTAGGTATATTATATTTTGATATAATCATTAGCATTCTATCATGAATGCTAATCAATCTGATTGCCTTATAATCACTTTGTTAATTGAGGGTGAGTGGAGAAAGTAGCTTAACATTGAGTGGTTGTTAACATAATAGAAAAAATCAAAAGCACAAGCTTGTCTTGTCATTAAGTTCTCAATGACTGGAATAGTTATTTAAAAACAATGCGATTATTGAATCATAATGTTGTTGATAAATATATTTGGAGCCCAGAATTTTAATATATTGTTTCATTTTAAAATCCGGGTTGTAGGGTATATTAGATTGTAGAACCTAATGTTAATTTTTACCTCTTCTGGTACATGTTGATGCAAGTCACTGGCCACCCAGTTCCCCAATATATTATATTTTATAGCCATGAGATATTTTAAACTTCAAGTCTCTTCACAGAGAAGATGTGTTTTCGTAGAAACAGCTGCTAGTCTTCAGTATTGAAAAAATAATCACATCAACAACTTTGGTCTCTTGAAGACCCCTCATCTAGGAGGTGATTGACATGTGTCACTCATGGAGGTCTTGGTGTTAACAGCGTGATTTCATGGTACAGTGTACCCATCTGTTAGTATATTTATTCTTAATACTGTTATTTGCCTTAATAGGTTGAAAGACATATCCTCAGTGGCTGTAAGAGCCTTGTTGTGGGAAAACCAAAGAAAAGTAATAAGTGTTCTTTGAAGACTTGTCGTCAACATGGACTGATGCCATTTGTGTGTCAAGAATGTAATAAGAATCACTGCATAAGGTAAGCACTTACCAACCAATCTTGGAGTAACAAAAGTGTTCTTTTGTTGTTCCTTCACTCAACCATGTGAAATTTTGTTGCCATTTGATAATTCATAACCCTTTAACTCCCAAGGTCTGATTGTCAATGATCCACTCTAGCTGTTACACATTTCCTTGTAATTTAGTTTTGAGAATTTGGTTTTAGATCAAGATAACAACTTCGTGATAACTTTAAGTATTCTCATCACCAGTCTGCTGGATAATGTATGGTTAGCATAGGGAGAGGTTGCATGTTAATCACTTCTGGGAGTTAAAGGGTAAAAGGTTTTTCAAGGGGTGCAATCTTGGAAAAAGTACCTCTTACTGGCCGAGTTTTAGGTTTGTAAGTTTTAGACCAACTTTTTTCTGCTTGGATTTATGGCCCAATGGCAAAGTGTGCAAGCCATAAATCAGCATGGGAAAAAAACAAGGATCTGTAATTTACAGTACAGGCTAAGAAAATGAAGTTGGTAAGATACATGTATTTATTACTCCTCTGGGTTAAAATAGAAAGGGTAGATTTCAATTTAAAAGGAAAACTTTTGAACTTATTGAGCCATGCAGTGAAATATGGCCTACTACATTGACCAATCTCACAAAACATAGATTTCTAGAACATTCCTTACCCCTGCTCCCCTAGTTCAGGGGAATTTTCATAATGTAACCTTAACTGAGATAGAAAGTTTTGACTTGGGAAAGGGGGTACACGAAAGGGGTACATGTAAATACCCAAAAAAGTTTCACTCTAAAAAAATATTGCATTGATAATTCAACATATATAAACGATGTTGTCAATGATTCGAGTTCACCTTGGAAACAGTATGTAGATATTAAATCATATATTTCACCATATAATTTTAAGTTAATCATATTTTTAGTCTTTTCCTCATTTTGATTTTAAGGAAGTTACAAGGGTAGTGAATGAAAAAATGCATGGCCTGCAGTGATTCCTAAGCACTTACTTAAAAATTTTAGACTGTTGCTGAATAACCTTAGCTGCACAATCATGTTATTATTACGAATGTAAATTCATAATACATGAGACATTGAGACTCATATCAAAGGCTGATAAGATTTCAGGATCAAATGAAAAGTTTGTGAGATGGTCAATTGCATTTGTTTATTGGAAGCAATTTTCCAACCATACGAGACACCTAAGCAAGGATTTGTCAAAAAATGTTATATGTAAATATTTTTAGGAAGGCTGTGTACAACTGTGCCTTTTCTTTGATATTTTTTTCTGGTGAATTATTCAATAACTAATTTGTGCCAAATATCAAGAATATTTAATTATTTTCTCTTAAGTGGTCATAAAACTAACAACTATGTTTTTACTCTTTACAGGCATAGACATGCTGAAGATCATTTTTGCACAGCTCTGAGGGTTCCAATGGTTTCCTGTGCATGAGACCAATGTGTAGAAAAATGTTAAATTATTTAATATGAATACAAAGTTGTTTTGCTTGAGTTTAGTTATTACATCAAGGACTCTGTGTTAAGAGGGGTTCATTTATATGAATAACTACCAGTAGATTAACTTCATTTAATGGGTGCATCACTTAAACTGAGTAACTAGTGGCCCTCATTTGTCTTTTTTTTCTTGGGAATTCTTTATTTTCATATGCTTCTTGTGAAACTCAGAAAACTGCGAACACCTTCAGGGCATTTGTGTACTGAACAGTTGTAATAAATTTCAGCAGTGCAAGCAAACTTCAAAACCACAAACCAAATACTGTTGTTGTTTGTAGTATAGTTTTATGGTATCTGATTAGCCTTTTCCTTGAAACATGTGACAAGAATGTTCCACACAGATTTCTTTGGTGTTGATAGTTTTCAGCATGATACTGTAATGTGGAAAATTTTTATTAGCCAAGGAACATCACATGAAAGTCTATTCTTTATAAATAAATTGTTCTAATCTATTGCTCTTATTATTATTATTATTATTATTATTGTTTTTACAAGTGGAAAAATGTGAAAGTTGTTTTTCCTGTTTTTGAATTTGTTAAATAATCAGTTACCATTTGATAAGTCGCACGTTGCCAGTTATCGTTTTGAGGGGGCTTTACCATAAATCTCCAAGACCTTTTTTTTCTAAATAAATGATTAGTGGAAAGTTTCCATTTGCCTAATATATTTTTGAGAGATGTACATAATTTGGGTGGAAATAAAGTGGAATTTAAAAGAAGACATTCAGATAGTGCACACAAATCTGTGAGAGAAGGAAAGAAGGGTGGATCAATGTTTTTGTTGCTTCATTAAGATGTGCATGTACGGCCTGCCTGTTGTTTCGATTGGTTATATGGTAAAAAATAGCGTTATAGGTGATAAAAGCTAAGTTTTTTCGTTTGTCTCACGGTGTAATCACTAGTGATGTAGATCACGACGTTTCGACTGCATACTGCTAGTCTTCTTCAGGTGATGAGGTCGACTGGTCATGCGTGATCTTATAAGCATGATGCTCTGCTGTGATTAGTTGTTTTTGAACAGCTCTGATTGGTGCATTTCGATCCTTGCAGTTTCACTCAGTGATTTGCTCCCTCGGCGGTCCGCCGTCGCACGGCTCTCTTGTTGTTGTGTTTTTTTGATCGTGGGCATCCACGCTTCTGGAATTTCTATTCCACTATCCCTGTTGATGTTGATAGGGTGAAGTCTTATATTAATTGCCTCTTTGACTATGCGCGTGTAATAATAGTAATAAGGGTCACGATCAATAAACTTTACTTCGTTCCAAAGTGGCTTGTGTCCGGTGTTGTGAGCATGCTCTGAAACGGCGGAGGTCTCGGTACGGACGAGTCGGATGTCTCGATCGTGCTCCTTAACTCTGTCTTGCATAGGTCTTCCAGTCTCTCCGGTGTACACCTTGCAGCATTCATAGGGAATCCTTTAAACTACGCCACCTTGTTTAGCCGGGTCGACAGCGTCTTTTGAGATTTTAGCGCAGTCTCCGACTTGAAAACAGCGCGTACGCCTTGTTATTGTAGGAAACGGCGAAGCTGTTCGGACAGACCTTTGAAATAAGGTAAAACCGCAGTAGCTTTGAACTCGTTGGCGGGTTCGGCACTGTTGTTTGGTTACATAGCAAACTATTCGTTTCTTAAATTCTAGATGATGTAAGCTCGTCCGGGTTTTACTATGCAAGTAGCATAGAAAAACAGTGTAAAGAAGTTTTAAATCGAATACTGCAAAAGATCCTGAGCTGCATTGATATTTCGTTTCTGCACCCTGTGTTTGGTCCAAAAAGCGCACGCCACCCTCTCAAGCAATCAGATGAACAAGGAAAAGACACCGCGTCGTGGTAAACCATGGGTATAATGTTGCTTTGGTTTTGCTTTTCTTCGCACCATGATTGGTCTAGAAAACTAATCTCCCCCTCTCTAAACCAATCTTCAATTGAACATCAACAGAAATGCGAGATTATCTTTTATTCCTCAGGCGCAGTGATTGATGACCTCTTGTCACCATCTTTACCAATCACACGCAAAACAAAAACCGACGCCACTTGCTCACACACGTTTTCCCGCGCTTAAGACACTTTCCTTTGGTTCTCCTTTGACAACAATCAACCTTGCTCGTAAACGTATTGTTAATTCATTTTTTATTTTTCATTTTAACTTCTTTATTGAAATGTCAAGTTCAATTCATATCAATTAAGCTGTTTTTAATAAAACTGGTTTTCTTTATTTAGCTGTTATTAAAATATTTCCAGCTAAATTATCAGATTATGAGTCAAGGAAATTTTCTAGACAATCCGAGAAAGAGGTTTTAAGCAACATTGAACATTCAAAATCTTTATTTCATATCGGTAGGAGAGCATGCATAGGTCAAATTAACCCTAGTTAAACAAAAACACATTTCTATTGTAGCAAGCGGCCCAAAGTGGCACTCTATAGAAACAGGAGTGAGGTGATTAGCATTCATCCGATGTTCAAAATGAGCAAATTCTAAAGCCAAAACTGGTCAAATACTGAGCAATTAAATCGATAGTGGCTGCGAAGTTTTAATAAATCACGCTAGTACGCACTTAAAGAAATACTGGGTATCAAAGATCCGCCGTGATCTTTTTGTGAAAAATCCGTGTGACTCGAAAACTGAAGCGTTAATCGTTTTATTACGTGATCTGAGAAGGTTTCTATCACTGTAAAAATTAATTGAAGGTAAGTAATCGTTAAGATTTTAAGTTAGAAACGAAAGAAAATGCATATAACAGTGCGCGTTTTTTTTTTTGTGGTTACTCTGGTATTTTGTGTTGTTTGTCATACGAAATCTGATTCTAAACTGATAGAAAGCGTTCGTAACCAGTCAGTTGTTGACTAGTAAAGAATACATCGGAGGAAGAAGTTACTTAACGCATTTCTAAAATGTCTTTTAATCAAAATTTTTGTGATAAAAGCTTTAAGTTCGTGGTGCGTTAAATAATTTGTGGCAAAATTTAAATATATATATATATATATATATATGTTTATATAATTGAAAGAATCAAAGGGGACGCATCGATTCTCTGTTACTCTGAGTTTCGCGCCCGAGCGCTCGTCAGACAGAGTAACAGAGAATCGATGCGTCCCCTTTGATTCTTTCACTTGTATATACCCAGCTCTGCTACCACAGCATCGAACACTTTATGCCAAGGTAGACTCTACTCCACATTTATATATATATATATATATATATATATATATATATATATATATCAATCGAGAGATGATGAGAAACCTTTATCTAGTACCATCACGAAAAAAATGATTTTAGAGAAAAGTAAAATCTTGTGGTGATTTTCTGTTGATTTTGTATGGTAAAATAATCCTCGATACATAAAAAGTGGATGGAATTGGAAGAAACCCTGTTTTCTCAGTCCAAACTGGGTGAAACTGCTAAATTTACATACAACTGGCTGTTCTTTTGTAGGTAAACATAGTTCTGCGGGCTACAAAGACTCCGCGCGTGGGACTTTTGGCGCTTGAAATTCGAGTCCTTAAAAGAATAAAAATTGTAAATATTATAATGGTTTTTGCACTTTTCGACTTATTGTCGAATATACTCTCAAGAGGATAAAGTGAGAAAAGATTAACCAAATAGAGGCCATTTTCCATCAACAGTCTTGGTGATAGCGTCAAAGCTTCATGAAAGGCCACTTTGAGTAACATGACACCTTGAAGCAGCTGAATAAATGAGGTTATGTTAAGCCAAGACTGCGGGGGAATATTCCAAAGATCCATTAAGATTAAAACTGATATCATTCACAAATAAATACATCGAAAAAGTGAAGGTTGTTAGCGCTGTGGATATCATCTAAAAATTGACCTCTAGTGTCACAGACCAGTGTACAAAGAGGACAAAAGTCCTCAGGAAAAATTTAATTTGTTACAGCAATCTTTCAGAGCAGGATGTATTCCTAGGATGATCGTTTGATCCCATGTCAATCTTGAGCCAAAGGAAAGTCAAAAGGCCGTCACCCCAACACTTTACCCATCCGGGACAATTGTTCTGTTCAACTATTTTCAAATCTTTTTTTTTTTTCGCTTGTGATATATTAACTTCTTGAAACCCTGTGGACATTGTCTTAAATTCTGACTTCAATAATAATTGCTTCAATAATAATTGCTTCTAGATATGGGAAGAGCAGGGTGTTTTTTCCTCTCCCTCCTTTTGATGTGCCTTCTGTTGGGCCACGCCCTTGGATCAAAATACAGAGAAAGGATAAAGGAGAAAATGGAAGAGCGGTCAGAAAAAAGAGAAGAGAGAAAAGAAGAGGGAAAAGGGGCGGTTGTTGGGTGGAGACGGAGACGAAGTCTTCAGGGTAAGGTTTTTAAACCTATGACGCTTTGAGCGATTTTATTTCCCGATTGCGGCGGATACAACTTTCGTTGCAGGCGTTGTATGACTTGATGGTCATGTCATGTAACAGGCTGTTTCTCGCACCAAGCTCACGATGAATGGGATTGCCCGCAAAACTCATGAAGAAAAAAATCCACTACTCTGTCAACTACTTTGGAAAATGGACTGAGCTCTAATCATTAACTTGTGTGAATGATCGTTAGAGTCTGGGCACGGAATTGATTTTTAGAAGTGACTTTTTTTGCCTCGTGGCGCAGAGTAGTGGAGAAGGAGGGATATAATTTTTTTTGGATGGGAATGGCGGGGTGGGGGGAGGAAGGTGGAAGTTCATTTGCAATGTCATATGTATAGCTTTTAAAACAACAGTATCTGAAGTAGGGTCATGTTCTAGTGCAATATTTACTAAAATCACTTCAGCAAGAAAAATGGACTCTCTTTTGGGCCATGAATAAAGGGGTAAGTTTCTAAAGAAACTGTGGTGCTGCGTCGGTGGGAGAGTATAGCAGGTAATTTAGTGTTAACAACTGGGTTGAAAACGTAAATTAGCCACCGTAAAGGGTAAAAAAGCTGACGTTTCGAGCGTTAGCCCAGAGCGATTGATTTTTTGGGCCGTCTGGGTTTGTTGACTAGGCGACATTTTCCTTTTCTTTACAGTTTCAAGACCAGAAATTAGCAAGGAAGAGGCAACAAACTTCATCAATGGATACGACTCTGATATCGACTAATTCAGGAATTATCAGGTTTATCCATAATGTGAATAGTGATGTATGTTTGTTCATCCTTCTCGTAGAATGTCTTGCGTACTTGAAACGAAAATAAAATTCAGTTGTTTTTCTGAAAAATAGCTCGTAGAATAAAATCCTCTTTATTCTTTACACGAGAGTGAAATTTCCTTTCGAGCTTGTGAATGTTCGGATCAATGTATTCGCGCACCTACCCCTTCCCTAACCCAACAACAATCAACCGATGAGAACTTAGGGTTATCATTGGGTTACGGGAGGGATGGGTGCACAGATCCCAACTTTCACCCGGTCTTGAGGGCGTGTTACGCACTGAGACTTGTGCGCAATTTTGCTGCGTGCACAGTTTTATTCTCTTGAAATGAGATCAGTGATTATAAAATACCGGCGCATAACACCTCTTGGCAGAAGTTCTCAATGAGATGACGGCTTTTACGGCTAACGGTTAAAAGTTTGGCCATTTTACGGCTAATCGTTAGCATCATCCCATTGTTGTCACTAAAATTTGTTTTTACGGTTGACTTTTTGGATCAATATCAGTATCTAAGCAACAGCCCACCAGCCCCTCCCCCAACCCAACATTAACCCTAACTTGTTACCAATTGACTGTTGTTAAGTTAGGGGAGGGGTAAGTGGGCAGTTGCCCAGATACTGATATTGATCCGACTTTTTTAATGACCATCGATTTTAATTTCTCAATTCGTACGTCATATGGCTAAAAATTTCGGCTATGGGTTAAACCCACTAAGACCCTCCTGAAAAAAAACGAGCCTGCCTTGTTACGCAACTCTGCGCAAAGCTTTTAGACACACGAGCTGCAAAATTGTGGCGGTCTTTTCCGCGCGCGAGATACTTATGGGAGAAGCTTGGTTTCCCTCAATAAGCACAATTTTAAGAGAAGTTTCTCCTTTCCTTGTTCGCTGAAACTCACGAATGTCAGTAACACTAAGAACCAAAACTAATGGAGCTCCAACAATATTTTATTCTTGATGTTAACTTGTACAGGATAAATTTGTATTTGTACCAACCAGCGGGTAGAAGTCTGATTTTAAAAAACTGCTTAACCTTTTTTAACTTAACAGATTTTCAAATAATCTGCGTAGACGTTATGTACATTTTATTTGCTCTCAGAATTCATCATGAAAACTTTATAGGTAAATACAATACAATACAGTGCAATGACTGTTTTCCTTGTTTTGACAAAGACGACGTAAAAATATGGATCGCATTGAAAGGCGACTATAGCGTTAATTACATGGATGAACTGACTTCAGAGTCAGTTAGAGATCTTAGAGATACCCGAGATACTGACCGAGAAAGCATTAGCATTGTAGCCCTTCAAAACAGCGTTATAACTTCCTCAGCCGTCAGTCACATTTTGAAATTAATCAGCATACAACATTCTACCTTTGTTTTTATGGGGATTTCACGAATTACCCAATTCCTTCAAAAATTTGTGTACATTTTCTGCAAAAATTTAGTTATCTTCGATTAGGAAACAAAATTTTTTGGGATTGTCCTAAAGTCCTGGTGCCCCAGTCAAAGTAACTGAGTGCTAGGCAAACCAAAGAAAATTACGTCAGCCAATCAGAATAAAGGGACAGTTCCTTTTTAATAGCATCTGATTGATCTAGAGGGTTCCGCGGGATTTCTGGGCCACAGATCAGAATGAACCAAAACCAGCGCAAACCTAGTTCACTTTCAAGAATCAGTTGAGAAAATTCCTATGCATACGCATATAAATACTCAGTGTTACTCGTCAACTTAACTCTCAGGCTCCTCTTAGCTTCAGGTGTTCGTTTCCTACCCTCAATTTGACCTTGTCACGGAACCAGTCTTTATAAATTTTTTTCTGTTGCGTGGCGAAGCAAAACATCCGCTGCGAAGGAGATAAAGCCATGGAAAGATATGATTGGGTTTTTTTTTTCTAAAAACTTATTATTTCGACATCTCGGTCATGGAGGTTCTGAGGTAGCTATGAATGCATGTTTTATTTCGCTTTTTCAGCAAAAATCTTGAAAAGAGAGCGATCTTACACCCTTTCATTAATAATAAAAAGTTTTCTGGTAGGTGATGACAAATTCAATTTTCAGTCCCATTCGACCTCTTCCTCCCCCCACCCCTCCCCCCCCAAAAAGGTTCAAACCTGTGTCTGTGGCTAGAAAATGGAAGGTCAAGATAACGCACAAACAGCTATAAAAAACGTAATAAATAAATATAAAAATTTCAAAACGACATAACGTTTCATACGCAAAGCAACATTGCAAACGGTGTACAGCGAACGGCAAAAATCGATCTTTTCCTCGTCCGCTATTGGGCTTTTGTACACTTAAAAGTATAAATTGAGTTTACTATGAACGAGAAATCCGTTTGCCGTATGCCGTAAGTTTCATGCCTAAAAACACTCAGACTCTTTGCTCTAAATCACCGTCAATTGGCGCTCTTACTGCTGTGACAGTTTTGAAAATGAATGCTGCTTTGCTTACGAAACTGTGGTAACATCCCTTGGTTGGATAAGTACCTGATTTATATGTAAAAAGTAATTATATACAATAACGCATCGTACACTTTCTAATGTTATAGATACAAAGCATGCCATTGTTCGACCTTTTTCAGCGGTGATATGATCATTCGCCCCCAGTGACTTCTTTCGCTATCGCACTCATATATACCAGGTCCTAAGATAGCGCGGCCAACTGTCTTGTTGCTTCTCATTTTTCCACGTCCCACGAGAGTCAGCACCAGGCTTGTGTGGCTGAGACGCTGGATAGGGACCTGGAACGAGAGGGTGCTATGGAAAATTGGGTGTTTCTCTCCGTCTGCGGCGGGAGTACGTTTCGTTTTTACTTTATGTCCTGAGAAGACTTCTGTGATTTTAACCAGATATTCTGCAAAATGATAAAGGAGAAACTTTTTAATAATTTTCCTTCTTTCATACGCAAATCACAAATCGAACTTTGCGTTCAACTTAATCATTGGTTACTTTTCCATCACGGGTACGTGTCTTGGCGATAAAAAGTCTCTAACAAACTCCTTAAAGTTAAGTAATATCTTTCTCGCGGAGGTAGTACCCCTCCAGAAGTCCTACAAGACAGGACAGGAGAAAGATACGACACTGAGAAGGACCATTTCATTTGTGAGGGAGATTAAAATGGAAAAATTTTTTTTTGCTCCGGCGTTATTTTAACGTGGACATTGCTTAGATGAATTTTGTTCTCTCGCGATTTTTTCCTTGACTTTTTCGGGAAAATTATTTTGGATGTCGTCTAAGTGTCTTCAGGAGCTCATGGGCTCCTTGTTTCTCGCATTTTATAATTTAAATTGTTACATAAACGAGTTTCAGCCTATTACATTACCATATTTTCCTAATGGTGTTGTTTTGTCATGGACCTTAATTTATCCCTAATCCGGGTCCTTTTGGTTTTACCTTACTTTACTTTGTGATTGGTTTAGAAAACTCGCGCCGTCATCTCAACCAATCAGATGCAAAACTAAGAAACAATGTAACTTGGTCATTTGCGTTTTCCCGCCATTCAAGCAGCTTGCTTGTTTTCACTATGAGTTCTCATTGGCTGCCGATGATGTAACCTTTGTTCTGATTGGTCGGCAGCTGGGATCACTTTGGTTTGGTTTAAACACACTCAATTGGAAACTGGTCTTAATGACAAATGCACTCTTCAGCCTCTCACCTCTGTTTGAATGTGCATCAAAGTGTATCAGGTTTCGAGCTTTTGTGATTCCCACCGTGATTGTGTTCATTCCCGGGTTATAGTTTAGTGACAATAAAATTTCGCCTCGAGTGTGGCCATAGGGCTGGAGAAATATGGAAAAATGAAAAAACATAAGCAAAATAAGTAATTTAGCGATCGAGCAAATATATACTAAAAACAGAAATGAACGTGGCGATATATAAATAGAAATATCGTAAAAAAAAAA